CTCTACTGTAGGCGATGCTGAATGGAATTTAGATATTATTAAGTAATAAAGTGTCAGTCGGTGTTGCCAGAGGTGTACGGAATATATCACAGATTTTATTATTCCATTTTTATAAGGTACTAGCATATGTCCGTAGATGTGAGTGTTATTTAAACATATCCATAGCTAATCAACATACACACCAATATTGAACATAATTAAAATGGCAGTACCAATTAGTTCCTTTGTTATCTTATACATAGTACGTATTTCCAAAATTACCTCCATGTCTCAACACAACACACCAATTCTCATAGCAACACAAATCTAGTTCTATACTAATTTTGGTACAATTTATTTCCTTTCGTACTCTTGTAGTACTTATTTCCAAAACTAATACCAAATTTCAAGATTCGAGCTCCATAGGTTCACCTAAATCTTAATTTTACCAAGTTTAATACGATTTAGTACACATTAATATCGCTATCCTGTCAGATGTCGTGCTGTCAGATAAGGATGAATTTCCAAAAATCCAGTCTTATATGACACCTTTGGACCAAGAGTGATCTCCCCCAAATTTCAAGCTACCAGCTTCAACCGTTTCGTCTGGCCGTTGATGAATCTTTAAGTCAGTCTGCTCAGTTAATGTATTCCATCCGTGTTGTTTTAAAAATTCCCCCTAGAAACAAAAATATTTTAAAATAATATTTTTTTCAAAAAAAAAAAAATATTTTAAAAATCCACGCTAAGACAAATATTTTGAAAAATAGGGATTTAATAAAACTTATTTGAAAAGTCGTGGATTCTTTCTTTTCGGAAACCATAAAAATATATATTTTTTTGAAACCACACATTGACGTGGATCTTTCCAATTGTTTTTTTAAGGAACTACACATCGACGTGGAATGTGTGGATTTTTTACATTTTTTCAAGGACCACACTTTTTAAACTTTTTTCAAGGACCATAAATAGGTCTTGACTTTTGTAATATTTTTTAAGGGGCACAAACAGACGTGGACTTTTTTTAACATTTAGTAAGGCCACAGTCCACAGCCACGGTCCATAGACCAATCTTCACGAAATTGTGCATGTAGGAACGGTTCTGGCCAAAGAATGATCGGTTTATATTTTTTCTGACCGCTCTAGAGGCCACAATTATGACCCGAACATCACGAAATTGTACACGGAGAAAGCAAGCATACCAAGAAATCCGTTTTCATCAGATTCTGCCAATATTTAGCGGGTCAAATAGAAGTATGTGTCTATTATGTTAAAAATTACAAAATATATATTTCATGGTGTATATAGTTATTACTGAAGAATATAGATCCGAAAAGTTTATAGAATATCCGAGAGGAGTGGTTGACCTTTAAATTGGTGCCAATTATATTGTTGTAAAATATTTACCAGTGTCTACGTATTCTGATATTATTTAGGATTACCATTATCACAATAGAGGGCGTAAATGTAACGCTGATGGCTAGGAAATTTTGCCTGAGGTTCCGATTATGGTGAAGGATGACCTAGATACCACAATTATAATCCTACAAAAAAAAAAAAAAAAAACGCTTGTGCAAACGTTAAACTTTGTATCACGATTCGGATTCAGAAGATAGTGTGTTTACGACAGATGTGTGTTTGGTAAAAATATTACGATGTGCAATCAATGGGCCATATCCTCCAAGGGGACCATATGAAAATAACAAATTTTAAAAATGTTGGACTTTGTGGGAATGGTTACTATGAGGTGTGAAGATTTTGTAAAAATATTACGATGTGTAATGTTTGCATCTTTATCCTCATTCTTTATCTTTATTCTATGTATAAGATGAAAAACTTCGCTTGTGTAGAAACTTGAAAAAAAAAATCTTTAAAAAAACTAAGCTTCTGTTGAACCTTAAAAAAACTTCGCTTCTGTACAACCATAAAAAAAACTACTCTGTAGACCTTAAACAAATCTTTAAAAACAAAACTAGGACTTTGAAACATATTCTTTAAAAATATTTGCGTTTCTGTAAGGTATTGAAAAACCATTCTTTAAAAACTTATTAAATTAGTTGTTCAAAAACGTGTGCACAATATTCGTCTATACGTCATTTCTATTAAAATATCTGATACCAAAAAAAAATCATTTTTAATAACTTAAGTTTCCTCAACCAAAAAAAGTGAAGAATTTCAAAAATTTCCCAAAAATAATTGTTATTTATAAAATCATTATAATCCGTTTGCAAAAAAAAAATGTTTATATTTTATTGAGGAAATTTTGCAGAAAAAAATATGCTATACCTTTTCAGCACATCACTCAAAAGATGTGAATAGTTTTCTGTTATTTTTTTTTTTCAAAATAATCATTATTAAGCAATTCACCATCACCATCATTGTCGGCGGTCTAGTCGGGGGGGGTTTTTTATTTGTGCAGTTTCCATTTATCAAAACTGTCTGTCCACCTATCCATCTATCTTTATTTTTCCTCCCAAAGATTATTCAGCTAATTCATTGCCTGTGTCTGATTGCCTTTCGTCAGAATCATTAACGAGAACCGTCGCGTTCATATCTGCCGAGATTTCAATAATTCTTCATGCATCATTTTTCATACCTATGATTTGTTGGTGTTGGTGTTGTGTTTTTGTTTTTTTTTGCATTTCTATATATATTTTGTTATATATAATTTTTGTTTATTTTAAAATATTTTTTCCTGTCTAAAGAAAATACCATCACCACCGCCACCTTCGCAAAGGAAATTCACATATCTACCGCAACGAAGTCTCCACATATTTGAATTTGATTTTTTAATGCATCGGAGCAGACAAACTTAAGTGGTCTGAATGAGATTAGTCATTTAAATGCAAAATAAATATTATTTATTTATTTAAGAAAAAAAATATAGATTTGTTTTTAGATTTATGTGGGCATGCAGAGGTACTTTGTATATATTTATCAGATTGGACAATGTATTGGATGACTGGATATATCCTACATATCAGAACATTAAAAGAACTAACAAGGTTGCTAATTTAGCCGGGCAGAACATTTAATACCCTTAATCATGAGGTGGACATTAAAAATACTTTAAATCGATAAGGGTTTCCGGATTTTGAGCTAGGACTTGGAAAATGCCGATATCGATCATTATAGGTAAATTCTCTAAAAAATATTCTTTAAAACATCCACGCCTTGTTGGATCTCCAACAAATATCCCCTAAAAAACGTACGCCTTGTTGGTTCTTCCAGAAAACTCATTTTGGGACAAGATTCTCTAAATGATCTAAAAAAATATTCTTTAAAAAATCCACTCCTCTGTAGGACTTCTTTAAAAAATCCACGTCTCTGTAGGCCTTCTTTAAAAAATCCACGTCTCTGTAGGCCTTCTTTAAAAAATCCACGCCTCTGTAGGACTTCTTTAAAAAATCCACGCCTCTGTAGGACTTCTTTAAAAAATCCACGTCTCTGTAGGCCTTCTTTAAAAAATCCACGTCTCTGTAGGCCTTCTTTAAAAAATCCACGCCTCTGTAGGACTTCTTTAAAAAATCCACGCCTCTGTAGGACTTCTTTAAAAAATCCACGCCTCTGTAGGACTTCTTTAAAAAATCCACGCCTCTGTAGGACTTCTTTAAAAAATCCACGCCTCTGTAGAACTTCTTTAAAAAATCCACGCCTTGTGAAGGTCCTTAAAAAAATATTCTTTAAATATTCGCCTTGTTTAGGTCTATGAAAAAATATTCTTTAAATATTCGCCTTGTTTAGGTCTATGAAAAAATATTCTTTAAATATTCGCCTTGCTTAGGTCTATGAAAAAATATTCTTTAAAAATCCACGCCTTGTTTAGGTCCTTAAAAAATATTCTTTAAAAAATCCACGCCTTGTGTAGGTCCTTGAAAAATTGTTCTTTAAAAAATCCACGCCTTGTGTAGGTCCTTGAAAAATTGTTCTTTAAAAAATCCACGCCTTCCCTAAGGCCTTAAAAATGTTCTTTAAAAAATCCACGCCTTCCCTAAGGCCTTAAAAATGTTCTTTAAAAAATCCACGCCTTGTGTAGGTCCTTGAAAAATTGTTCTTTAAAAAATCCACGCCTTGTGTAGGTCCTTGAAAAATTGTTCTTTAAAAAATCCACGCCTTGCCTAAGGCCTTAAAAATGTTCTTTAAAAAATCCACGCCTTGTGTAGGTCCTTGAAAAATTGTTCTTTAAAAAATCCACGCCTTGCCTAAGGCCTTAAAAATGTTCTTTAAAAAATCCACGCCTTGCCTAAGGCCTTAAAAATGTTCTTTAAAAAATCCACGCCTTGCCTAAGGCCTTAAAAATGTTCTTTAAAAAATCCACGCCTTGCCTAAGGCATTAAAAATGTTCTTTAAAAAACCCATGCCTTGCCTAAGGCCTTAAAAATGTTCTTTAAAAAATCCACGCCTTGCCTAAGGCCTTAAAAATGTTCTTTAAAAAATCCACGCCTTGCCTAAGGCCTTAAAAAATGTTCTTTAAAAATTCCACGCCTTGTGTAGGTCCTTTTTTAACCTCCAATAACTATTATTTTCTTCGAATATCTCCAACGTTTCTTGGTAGAACAAACACCCCTTAAGCATTGCCAACAACTATAAAAAAGACAACACAACCAATCACGTTACTATGCCGGAAGTTAGTTGCCCGAGTAACGAACTCTGAGTAGTCTATAAACAAATCAACAAAAATTCCTAAATCCGAAAAATACTGATTACTCAATTCATTCATGAAGGAATTATAGAAAAACGACGAGAGGAAATAGCAATCATTTTTGAAAAGTTTATTATTTTCGAAAATTTTTTGAAAACTATTTGATTTTGGAAATTACGGAAATCTAAATAAATATCATATCAAACATATCATTAGTCCGTCAATCGATCGGTCAATCAATTGCTGGGTATAACACACAATTTATGCGAACGAATGATATGGAAAATCCATCAAATTCGAATTCAAGCAAAAAAATTGTGGGTATTTCAAATGAATGATTGACATTTGTAATAAATTAAAACGAAAGCGGAGGAATAGAAGAAAAAAATATTTGCCATGGAGGAACTACAAGATGCCAGCATACATCATACCGCTGCAAAGTTAATCAACACGATAAAAACGCTGAAAAATTATGAGCCATTATATGAAAATGTTCAGGTGGGTAGAAAAATTGTGAATGAGGTGGTAGAAGAAGGAGGGAATTTAATTTTCTTATCCATTTAGAAATTAGTTTGCAGTCCCACTGTCGATCGCAATGATATGTGCAATACCCTGGAGGAGGCCATTAAAAGTGCCGGCTTGGAAACTGAAATACGCAATATTATTTTTCATTTGGTACGCAGTAAATTGAAGCCGGAGGAGAAGCCATCGCAAATAAATATAGTAAGTATAGGACCTTAAAAAAATATTCTTTAAAAAATCTACGCCTTATATGGAACCTGAAAAAATATTCTTTAAAAAATCTACGCCTTATATGGAACCTGAAAAAATATTCTTTAAAAAATCTACGCCTTATATGGAACCTGAAAAAATATTCTTTAAAAAATCTTCGCCTCTGTAGGACCTTCAAAAAATATTCTTTAAAAAATCTACGCCTCTGTAGGACCTTCAAAAAATATTCTTTAAAAAATCTACGCCTCTGTAGGACCTTCAAAAAATATTCTTTAAAAAATCTACGCCTTATATGCAACCTGAAAAAATATTCTTTAAAACATCTACGCCTTATATGGAACTTGAAAAAAATATTCTTTAAAACATCTACGCCTTATATGGAACTTGAAAAAATATTCTTTAAAAAATCTACGCCTTATATGGAACCTGAAAAAATATTCTTTAAAACATCTACGCCTTATATGGAACTTGAAAAAATATTCTGAAAAAAAATATTCTTTAAAAAATCTACGCCTTATATGGACCCTGAAAAAATATTCTTTAAAAAATCTGCGCCCTATATGGACCCTGAAAAAATATTCTTTAAAAAATTACGCCTCTGTAGGACTTTCAAAAATATTTTTTTAAAAATCTACACCTCTGTAGGACCTTGAAAAAATATTCTTTAAAAAACCTACGCCTCTGTAGAACCCTTCAAAAATTATTATTTAAAAAAATCTTTAATTTTAGAATGACCCCTTGGCCTATTTGAAACGTGCCGGTGTACAATGGGATCGTCGTGTACGCAAAAGTTTAAATGCAATGTGTTCCGAATTGAAAATGGCTTCGCAAGGTCAACCGCGAATATCAACCGATCGAGATGAACTACTCTCGAAATGGGATGAATTGAGTAATTATACAATTGGTGAGTAGAAAAAAGTTCCGAAACGTATACTTATTTTTAAAAAAATATTGAAATTTATCTGTGTGTTATTTTTCAGATTTAGCCAACTATAGACCGGTTTATGCTCCCAAGGACATTTTGGATGTATTGCTATCCCTGAAAGGTCCAACCAAGGCAGTGGAAAATACAGAGTTTGTGTAATGTCAACAATGCCATAGATACAAATAATAATTTGAAAATGGATTTTCCATCTCAAAATGTTCTTTTTAGACAGGTGCCGAAATGGGAATTCTCGCATATATCGCTGCCAGTGAAAAATCTCTTTGAATTGGTGAGTAAAAACTTCCCGCCGAAGGTCAGAGAATCCTCTTAAAAATATTCTTTAAAAATCCACGCCTATACCGCTATGGATCCTCTTAAAAATATTCTTTAAAAATCCACGCCTATACCGCTATGGATCCTCTTAAAAATATTCTTTAAAAATCCACGCCTATACCGCTATGGATCCTCTTAAAAATATTCTTTAAAAATCCACGCCTATACCGCTATGGATCCTCATAAAAATATTCTTTAAAAATCCACGCCTAAAGCACTTCGAATCCTCACAAAAATATTCTTTAAAAATCCACGCCTAAAGCACTTCGAATCCTCACAAAAATATTCTTTAAAAATCCACGCCTAAAGCACTTCGAATCCTCACAAAAATATTCTTTAAAAATCCACGCCTAAAGCACTTCGAATCCTCACAAAAATATTCTTTAAAAATCCACGCCTAAAGCACTTCGAATCCTCACAAAAATATTCTTTAAAAATCCACGCCTAAAGCACTTCGAATCCTCACAAAAATATTCTTTAAAAATCCACGCCTAAAGCACTTCGAATCCTCACAAAAATATTCTTTAAAAATCCACGCCTAAAGCACTTCGAATCCTCACAAAAATATTCTTTAAAAATCCACGCCTAAAGCACTTCGAATCCTCACAAAAATATTCTTTAAAAATCCACGCCTAAAGCACTTCGAATCCTCACAAAAATATTCTTTAAAAATCCACGCCTAAAGCACTTCGAATCCTCACAAAACTATTCTTTAAAAATCCACGCCTAAAGCACTTCGAATCCTCACAAAAATATTCTTTAAAAATCCACGCCTAAAGCACTTCGAATCCTCACAAAAATATTCTTTAAAAATCCACGCCTAAAGCACTTCGAATCCTCACAAAAATATTCTTTAAAAATCCACGCCTAAAGCACTTCGAATCCTCACAAAAATATTCTTTAAAAATCCACGCCTAAAGCACTTCGAATCCTCACAAAAATATTCTTTAAAAATCCACGCCTAAAGCACTTCGAATCCTCACAAAAATATTCTTTAAAAATCCACGCCTAAAGCACTTCGAATCCTCACAAAAATATTCTTTAAAAATCCACGCCTAAAGCACTTCGAATCCTCACAAAAATATTCTTTAAAAATCCACGCCTAAAGCACTTCGAATCCTCACAAAAATATTCTTTAAAAATCCACGCCTAAAGCACTTCGAATCCTCACAAAAATATTCTTTAAAAATCCACGCCTAAAGCACTTCGAATCCTCACAAAAATATTCTTTAAAAATCCACGCCTAAAGCACTTCGAATCCTCACAAAAATATTCTTTAAAAATCCACGCCTAAAGCACTTCGAATCCTCACAAAAATATTCTTTAAAAATCCACGCCTAAAGCACTTCGAATCCTCACAAAAATATTCTTTAAAAATCCACGCCTAAAGCACTTCGAATCCTCACAAAAATATTCTTTAAAAATCCACGCCTAAAGCACTTCGAATCCTCACAAAAATATTCTTTAAAAATCCACGCCTAAAGCACTTCGAATCCTCACAAAAATATTCTTTAAAAATCCACGCCTAAAGCACTTGGAATCCTCACAAAAATATTCTTTAAAAATCCACGCCTAAAGCACTTGGAATCCTCACAAAAATATTCTTTAAAAATCCACGCCTAAAGCACTTCGAATCCTCACAAAAATATTCTTTAAAAATCCACGCCTAAAGCACTTCGAATCCTCACAAAAATATTCTTTAAAAATCCACGCCTAAAGCACTTGGAATCCTCACAAAAATATTCTTTAAAAATCCACGCCTAAAGCACTTGGAATCCTCACAAAAATATTCTTTAAAAATCCACGCCTAAAGCACTTGGAATCCTCACAAAAATATTCTTTAAAAATCCACGCCTAAAGCACTTCGAATCCTCACAAAAATATTCTTTAAAAATCCACGCCTAAAGCACTTGGAATCCTCACAAAAATATTCTTTAAAAATCCACGCCTAAAGCACTTGGAATCCTCACAAAAATATTCGTTAAAAATCCACGCCTATACCGCTATGTATCCTCATAAAAATATTCTTTAAAAATCCACGCGTAAAGCACTTCGAATCCTCACAAAAATATTCTTTAAAAATCCACGCGTAAAGCACTTCGAATCCTCACAAAAATATTCTTTAAAAATCCACGCCTAAAGCACTTCGAATCCTCACAAAAATATTCTTTAAAAATTCACGCCTAAAGCACTTCGAATCCTCACAAAATATTCTTTAAAAATCCACGCCTAAAGCACTTGGAATCCTCACAAAAATGTTCTTTAAAAATCCACGCCTAAAGCACTTGGAATCCTCACAAAAATATTCTTTAAAAATCCACGCCTAAAGCTCTTGGAATCCTCACAAAAATATTCGTTAAAAATCCACGCCTATACCGCTATGTATCCTCATAAAAATATTCTTTAAAAATCCACGCGTAAAGCACTTCGAATCCTCACAAAAATATTCGAAGTGCTTTAGGCGTGGATTTTTAAAGAATATTTTTGTGAGGATTCGAAGTGCTTTAGGCGTGGATTTTTAAAGAATATTTTTGTGAGGATTCGAAGTGCTTTAGGCGTGGATTTTTAAAGAATATTTTTGTGAGGATTCGAAGTGCTTTAGGCGTGGATTTTTAAAGAATATTTTTGTGAGGATTCGAAGTGCTTTAGGCGTGGATTTTTAAAGAATATTTTTGTGAGGATTCGAAGTGCTTTAGGCGTGGATTTTTAAAGAATATTTTTGTGAGGATTCGAAGTGCTTTAGGCGTGGATTTTTAAAGAATATTTTTGTGAGGATTCGAAGTGCTTTAGGCGTGGATTTTTAAAGAATAGTTTTGTGAGGATTCGAAGTGCTTTAGGCGTGGATTTTTAAAGAATATTTTTGTGAGGATTCGAAGTGCTTTAGGCGTGGATTTTTAAAGAATATTTTTGTGAGGATTCGAAGTGCTTTAGGCGTGGATTTTTAAAGAATATTTTTGTGAGGATTCGAAGTGCTTTAGGCGTGGATTTTTAAAGAATATTTTTGTGAGGATTCGAAGTGCTTTAGGCGTGGATTTTTAAAGAATATTTTTGTGAGGATTCGAAGTGCTTTAGGCGTGGATTTTTAAAGAATATTTTTGTGAGGATTCGAAGTGCTTTAGGCGTGGATTTTTAAAGAATATTTTTGTGAGGATTCGAAGTGCTTTAAAAAGGACCTACACAAGGCGTGGATTTTTTAAATAATATTTTTGAAAAGGACCTACACAAGGCGTGGATTTTTAAATAATATTTTTTCAAGGACCTACACAAGGCGTGTAGGTCCACGCCTAAAGCACTTCGAATCCTCACAAAAATATTCGTTAAAAATCCACGCCTATACCGCTATGTATCCTCACAAAAATATTCTTTAAAAATCCACGCCTATACCGCTATGTATCCTCACAAAAATATTCTTTAAAAATCCACGCCTAAAGCACTTCGAATCCTCACAAAAATATTCTTTAAAAATCCACGCCTAAAGCACTTCGAATCCTCACAAAAATATTCTTTAAAAATCCACGCCTAAAGCACTTCGAATCCTCACAAAAATATTCTTTAAAAATCCACGCCTAAAGCACTTCGAATCCTCACAAAAATATTCGTTAAAAATCCACGCCTATACCGCTATGTATCCTCATAAAAATATTCTTTAAAAATCCAAGCGTAAAGCACTTCGAATCCTCACAAAAATATTCTTTAAAAATCCACGCGTAAAGCACTTCGAATCCTCACAAAAATATTCTTTAAAAATCCACGCGTAAAGCACTTCGAATCCTCACAAAAATATTCTTTAAAAATCCACGCCTAAAGCACTTCGAATCCTCACAAAAATATTCTTTAAAAATTCACGCCTAAAGCACTTCGAATCCTCACAAAATATTCTTTAAAAATCCACGCCTAAAGCACTTGGAATCCTCACAAAAATGTTCTTTAAAAATCCACGCCTAAAGCACTTGGAATCCTCACAAAAATATTCTTTAAAAATCCACGCCTAAAGCTCTTGGAATCCTCACAAAAATATTCGTTAAAAATCCACGCCTATACCGCTATGTATCCTCATAAAAATATTCTTTAAAAATCCACGCGTAAAGCACTTCGAATCCTCACAAAAATATTCTTTAAAAATCCACGCCTAAAGCACTTCGAATCCTCACAAAAATATTCTTTAAAAATCCACGCCTAAAGCACTTCGAATCCTCACAAAAATATTCTTTAAAAATCCACGCCTAAAGCACTTCGAATCCTCACAAAAATATTCTTTAAAAATCCACGCCTAAAGCACTTCGAATCCTCACAAAAATATTCTTTAAAAATCCACGCCTAAAGCACTTCGAATCCTCACAAAAATATTCTTTAAAAATCCACGCCTAAAGCACTTCGAATCCTCACAAAAATATTCGTTAAAAATCCACGCCTATACCGCTATGTATCCTCACAAAAATATTCTTTAAAAATCCACGCCTATACCGCTATGTATCCTCACAAAAATATTCTTTAAAAATCCACGCCTAAAGCACTTCGAATCCTCACAAAAATATTCTTTAAAAATCCACGCCTAAAGCACTTCGAATCCTCACAAAAATATTCTTTAAAAATCCACGCCTAAAGCACTTCGAATCCTCACAAAAATATTCGTTAAAAATCCACGCCTATACCGCTATGTATCCTCATAAAAATATTCTTTAAAAATCCACGCGTAAAGCACTTCGAATCCTCACAAAAATATTCTTTAAAAATCCACGCCTAAAGCACTTCGAATCCTCACAAAAATATTCTTTAAAAATTCACGCCTAAAGCACTTCGAATCCTCACAAAAATATTCTTTAAAAATCCACGCCTAAAGCACTTCGAATCCTCACAAAAATATTCTTTAAAAATCCACGCCTAAAGCACTTCGAATCCTCACAAAAATATTGTTTAAAATTCACGTCTAAAGGCCGAGAAACTTTAGCAAAAATATTCTTTCGAAATCCATGTCTGAAGGTTTCGCAAAAATATGTTTTTTTATTATTTACAGAGAAACCATTACAGCGATTTATTGCGCACCGAATCCTATGCCGGCTCATCGGATATGAATTTACAATGTCAACGAGTTTTGGAATCAAAACATGCCCCACTGTGCCAGCATTTATTGAGGAAGGGTAACACCCCGGCACCTTATCGTGGAGCTTTGTGGTCGTATGTTTTGGGTAGTCATGTAAATAATTTTGTGAGTATATTTCAAAATCTTCAGAATATTTCAAAATTGTCATATTTTATTTTTTCTTTTTAGGATATTGAACATTGGAATCGTTTAAAAGCCAATGTCTTGGCCACCGACCACATTGTCGATAAATTGGTCTTCAAAGATATCCAATTGACTGCCTCGAACGATGATCAGTATTTTGTTTTTGAAGATGTCCTTTATCAAGTGTTGTTGTGTTTTTCGCGGGATACTGAAATTGCCCAGATGATACAATTCGAACATTATCCCATTAAGGGTAAAAGTTATGAGGCGCCACCATCGGGTGTGGTGCCATTTCATGGAATTTGTATGTTTGGTAAGATATGAAAATAATTATTTAAAAAAATATTATTTAAAAAATAATATACACATATAATAATATGTGTAGGTTCTTGAAAAAATATTATTTAAAAATCCACGCCTTGTGTAGGTCCTTGAAAAAATATTATTTAAAAATCCACGCCTTGTGTAGGTCCTTGAAAAAATATTATTTAAAAATCCACGCCTTGTGTAGGTCCTTGAAAAAATATTCCTTAAAAAATTCACGCCTTGTGTAGGTCCTTTTCAAAAAAATTCTTTAAAAAATCCACGCCTTGTGTAGGTCCTTTTCAAAAATATTATTTAAAAAATCCACGCCTTGTGTAGGTCCTTTTTAAAAATATTATTTAAAAAATCCACGCCTTGTGTAGGTCCTTTTCAAAAATATTATTTAAAATATCCACGCCTTGTGTAGGTCCTTTTCAAAAATATTATTTAAAAAATCCACGCCTTGTGTAGGTCCTTGAAAAAATATTATTTAAAAATCCACGCCTTGTGTAGGTCCTTGAAAAAATATTATTTAAAAAATCCACGCCTTGTGTAGGTCCTTGAAAAAATATTATTTAAAAAATCCACGACTTGTGTAGGCCCTTTTCAAAAATATTCTTTAAAAAATCCATGCCTTGTGTAGGTCCGTTTCAAAAATATTCTTTAAAAAAAATCCACGCCTTGTGTAGGTCCTTTTCAAAAATATTCTTTAAAATATCCACGCCTTTGGTAGGCCTTGAAAAAATATTCTTTAAAAAATCCACGCCTTGTGTAGGTCCTTTTCAAAAATATTCTTTAAAAAATCCACGCCTTGTGTAGGTCCTTTTCAAAAATATTCTTTAAAAAATCCACGCCTTGTGTAGGTCCTTTTCAAAAATATTCTTTAAAAAATCCACGCCTTGTGTAGGTCCTTTTCAAAAATATTCTTTAAAAAATCCACGCCTTGTGTAGGTCCTTTTCAAAAATATTCTTTAAAAAATCCACGCCTTGTGTAGGTCCTTTTCAAAAATATTCTTTAAAAAATCCACGCCTTGTGTAGGTCCTTTTCAAAAATATTCTTTAAAAAATCCACGTCTTGTGTAGGTCCTTTTCAAAAATATTCTTTAAAAAGTCCACGCCTTGTGTAGGTCCTTTTCAAAAATATTATTTACAAAATCCACGACTTGTGTAGGCCCTTTTCAAAAATATTCTTTAAAAAATCCATGCCTTGTGTAGGTCCGTTTCAAAAATATTCTTTAAAAAATCCACGCCTTGTGTAGGTCCTTTTCAAAAAACTCCACGCCTTGTGTAGGTCCTTTGCAAAAATATTCTTTAAAAAATCCACGCCTTGTGTAAGTCCTTGAAAAAATATTATTTAAAAAAATCCACGCCTTGTGTAGGTCCTTGAAAAAATATTATTTAAAAAATCCACGCCTTGTGTAGGTCCTTGAAAAAATATTATTTAAAAAATCCACGCCTTTGGTAGGCCTTGAAAAAATATTCTTTAAAAAATCCACGCCTTGAAAAAATATTCTTTAAAAAATCCACGCCTTGAAAAAATATTCTTTAAAAAATCCACGCCTTGAAAAAATATTCTTTAAAAAATCCACGCCTTGAAAAAATATTCTTTAAAAAATCCACGCCTTTGGTAGGCCTTGAAAAAATATTCTTTAAAAAATCCACGCCTTTGGTAGGCCTTGAAAAAATATTCTTTAAAAAATCCACGCCTTTGGTAGGCCTTGAAAAAATATTCTTTAAAAAATCCACGCCTTTGGTAGGCCTTGAAAAAATATTCTTTTAAAAATCCACGCCTTTGGTAGGCCTTGAAAAAATATTCTTTTAAAAATCCACGCCTTTGGTAGGCCTTGAAAAAATATTCTTTAAAAAATCCACGCCTTTGGTAGGCCTTGAAAAAATATTCTTTTAAAAATCCACGCCTTTGGTAGGCCTTGAAAAAATATTCTTTAAAAAATCCACGCCTTTGGTAGGCCTTGAAAAAATATTCTTTAAAAAATCCACGCCTTTGGTAGGCCTTGAAAAAATATTCTTTAAAAAATCCACGCCTTTGGTAGGCCTTGAAAAAATATTCTTTAAAAAATCCACGCCTTTGGTAGGCCTTGAAAAAATATTCTTTAAAAAATCCACGCCTTTGGTAGGCCTTGAAAAAATATTCTTTAAAAAATCCACGCCTTTGGTAGGCCTTGAAAAAATATTCTTTTAAAAATCCACGCCTTTGGTAGGCCTTGAAAAAATATTCTTTAAAAAATCCACGCCTTTGGTAGGCCTTGAAAAAATATTCTTTAAAAAATCCACGCCTTTGGTAGGCCTTGAAAAAATATTCTTTAAAAAATCCACGCCTTTGGTAGGCCTTGAAAAAATATTCTTTTAAAAATCCACGCCTTTGGTAGGCCTTGAAAAAATATTCTTTTAAAAATCCACGCCTTTGGTAGGCCTTGAAAAAATATTCTTTAAAAAATCCACGCCTTTGGTAGGCCTTGAAAAAATATTCTTTAAAAAATCCACGCCTTTGGTAGGCCTTGAAAAAATATTCTTGAAAAAATCCACGCCTTTGGTAGGCCTTGAAAAAATATTCTTTAAAAAATCCACGCCTTTGGTAGGCCTTGAAAAAATATTCTTTAAAAAATCCACGCCTTTGGTAGGCCTTGAAAAAATATTCTTTAAAAAATCCACGCCTTTGGTAGGCCTTGAAAAAATATTCTTTAAAAATCCACGCTTCTGTTGGACCTCCAAAAATATTCATTAAAATAATTCACGCTTCTGTAGGACCTCTTTGTTGATCCCTTGAAAATCCACGCCTTTTGTGGTTCCTTGAAAAATTATTCCTAAAAAATCTCTTATTTTTTTCAGCTGCCCCCTTTTGTTATCTCTTCGATTCCCCCATCAATTTATATTTCACATTCCGTGCCTTTTATATTCGTTATTGTCATCGGCTGACGACCATTAATACCCATCCTCAGGTAGGTTTGGTTATTTGAAGAACAAATATGTCCATATGAAAATGTGTCCACCTTCATTACAGGGTATTGTCAGCATTTGTCTGCTCTTCGAAAAATTACTGCAGACCCATGAGCCGCAATTATGGTCACATTTTCGTGAATTACAAATCCAACCGTAAGTTAATAGATCAAAAATATTATAACTTACCCGATAATCTGATATTTGCTTTATTATTTTTTCGTCTAAGGATCCGCGTCGTTTTCAAGTGGTTGATGCGTGCATTTAGTGGCCACCTGCCACCCGATCAATTGCTGGTATTGTGGGATCTGGTAAATGCAAATTTAATTATTCAAAACTATTTCTAAAATGTCAATTTTTATTATTTTTTAATGGTCTACTTACAGATCCTTGGTTTCGACAGCCTGGAGATCCTTTCAATATTTGCCATAATTATTTTATCCTTTCGCAAGGAGAGTCTAATGCAAGTGAATTCGCTGGATAGCATAGAAGCTATACTGGCAGATTTATCATCAATTCAGGTGCTGCCATTGGTCCAATTGGCCCTCAGTCGAGACTAGAGGAAGGCAATAAGAAAATTTTGAAAAATTAGTAAATTTAGTTGAAACTGTTTTTTTTTATATATGAAAATTATAGTTCAATTTAAAAAAAATTGTTTAGTAAAATTTTTTAGAAAATAAAACAAAGATGTTTTATCGTTTTTTGAATAATAATATAATTTATTTTCCAGTTTTTTTTTGTTGTTATTTTTCATTCTCGCAGAATGTCCGTTTAATAAATACACATTTAATAATTCAATATATATACCTATTATTTTCGATTTTCAATTTTTTACATTTCTTTGTTTTTTTTTTATTTCATTGAATAAAATAGTTTTTTTTACAATAACTATTAAGAGCAACAAGAATTATCGATTTGTTATATTTTATATTTATATTTTTATATAAAGTAGGCTAGGGACGACATTTAGGACGTAATAATTAATCCATGACTAACTTATCAAAATCAGAAAAATGCCCACATTTTTTCCAAAGAGGTTATAATTCTTCGTAAATTTAACCAAAAAATTCGCATCTAGTGAGGATAATCCACGCTTAAGTAGGACCTTGAAAAAATATTCTTTACTCATTTCTGAAGGACCTTAAAAATATATTCCTAAAAATTCTTTAAAAAACCAAGCCTCAGTAGAACACCAAAAAAGTTCTTTAAAAACCCCTTCTGTAGGACCCTCTAAATTTATTTTTTAAAAATACACTTTTCTATTTGACCAAAACAAATTATATACAGAAAAAAATTAAAAAAAAACTATACCAAAATTCGTGCAAATCGAAAGATATTTAGGGTCCTTGGTGCACCAATTACCATAAAGCGGATGAAAATATATATCGGAACTATATCTAAATCTGAACCGATTTTCACGAAACTTGGCAGACATCATTCTCGATTTTATTTATTACTCTGTGCCAAATTTCGTGCAAATCAAAAGATTTCCAGGGACTTTAGTGGACTATTTACCTAAAATCGTGCGAAATTATATATGGGAGCTATATCTGAATCTGAACCAATTTTCACGAAACTTTGCACACATCATTTTAGACTTAGTTGAGTGCGCTGTGCCCAACTTTGTGCAAATCGAAAGATATATAGGGACTTTGGTACACAATTTACCTTAAATCAGACGAAGATATATATGGGAGCTATATCTAAATCTGAACCGATTTTCACGAAACTTTGCACACATCATTCTAGACTTAATTTAGTACGCTGTGCCAAATTTCGTGCAAACCGAAAGATATATAGGGACTTTGGTTTTTATTTACCTTAAATCAGACGAAGATATATATTGGAGCTATATCTAAATCTGAACCATCATTCTAGACCTTATTGATTACGCTGTGCCAAATATCGTGCAAATCGAAAGATATATAGGGACTTTGGTGCACCATCTACCTTAAATCGGACGAAAATATATATGGGAGCTATATCTAAATCTGAACCGATTTTTCCCAATAGGATTTTCAATAGGGTTCGTCCTTGGGTCAAACAAATGCGCTGTGCCAAATTTCATCCAATACGGATCATAAATGCGACCTGTACTTTGTTTACAATTTAACATGGACAGACGGAAGGACGGACGGACATGCATAAATCAACTCAGAAAGTGATTCTATGCATTTTCTCAAAAGGAACCATGGGTCTATCTCGTTTCCTTTTGCCTGTTACAAACATATGCACAAAGACATAATACCCTGTACCACAATGTGGTGAAGGGTATAAATATATATGAGAGCTATGTCTAAATTTACACCGATTCTGACAAAATTATATAGGCTCATTTTGATACGCTGTGCAAAATTTTGTGTTAATCAAAAAACGCGGGAAGTTTGGTGCAAATCTGAACTGATTTGAAGTAAACTTAACAAACCACAATTCAAATGCCTTGAGTCTTCAGAGTAATTGAAAAAACGAAGAGAAAAAACAAATAATTTCTCACCATGAAACAGATTTTTTCTATAGGAAAAAAATCATCAGTAATTGAAGACAAAAATCCGGCCTCAATTAACCGACGAATTATATTTTCTATAGAAAAATCAGTTCACTGATGCTTTTTTTCTATAGAAAAAAATCGATAGGGAAGAATGGCGGCGTTTCCTTTTCTCAATTCCTTTTTTATATAGAAAAAAACCCTGAATCCTATGTCAATCCTAAGGACTGAGTAATCATCGAAAAAATCCTCATCGTCCTATGTTCTGAGAGATCAATACTCCTTGCTTTTTGGTACCAAATCCGTTTCAGACAATTTAGAGTCGATTTAAAAAAGACCGTCTGTCTGGCTCGAAGTTTGTTTATTTTGTACATCACAATATTTCGTCCAAACATAGATCAAGTTCGATCAAGTCCACTCCTTCTGATAGTTCCACCACAAAATTTTGCTGAAAATTAATTTTATAATAACATGCGAACGAGTTGAACCAAACTTTGTACAACCTATTATCTACCAAGCATTTATCAGATCCGAAGATGAGACCCATTGGTCCAGTTTTATATATAGCTCCCATATAAATTTTCGTCCCATTTAAGGTAAATGGTGCACCAATGTCCCTAAATATCTTTCGATTTCTACGAAATTTGGTACAGCGTACTGAATAAAGTCTAGAATGATGTGTGTTAAGTTTCGTGAAAATCAAAAATGCGACGTCTGTAAAGATTCATCTGTTGAATTTACCCAAAGTGGTGAAAGGTATCATATAGTCGGCCACGTCCGACTTTACCACTTTCCTTACTGTTTTTTATAGAAAAAGTGTGTTCTCAGTAACGCAGACATTTTTTTCATACAAAAATATCTGTCCTCTATTAGTTAGGAAATAGAATTAATATGTCCACATTCTATAGAATTAATATGTCCACATTTGCTGCGGATTTTTAAAATTGCTATGAATTTTATTCTGGCGAAAGTAAGTAATAAGACAGAATTTTTCTATAGAAAAAATCTACAACAATTAAGCCTGGATTTAAAAAAATCTTCATTGACTGGCAATACATTTTTTTTCTACAGATAAAAATTATCAGGGCACATTTATTTTTATTTTAATTAACTGAATTTAAAATTATTTAAATTTTTATAATAGGTTTTTTATTTTGAAAATAAGCTTTTTAAATTTTATAAGACCAAATTCGTTTTATTGATTATTATTATTATTTGTTTTAAAATATATATTATTTTTACAATTTTTTTCTTAGTTGGTTAAGCCTAGCTACAAATTTTTATAGTGGGTTTTATATTTAAATTATATGTATATATAGCATTTTATACTTTTTATTCATTTGTTTTTATTGTTGAAATACATTTGTTCGCATTTATTTATAAACAATTTTAAGCAGTTGTATGTTTATTAGAAAATACATTTGTTTTGATTTCATTTGCTTAATTATTTTATTATATATATGTAGTTTTATATCATTTTTAAATAGTTTTATTTTGTATTTTTGTTTATTTTAGTACTATCGGAATCTTTACTTTTGATATGAATTATGAATCACAACAATGCGTTTTGAAGTTTTGTATTTTTTTTTTAAGACAAGATTTTTTTCAATGAACGTAGAATGTTTTGAAGTTTAAACACAATTTTGTTTTTATATATATTTTTTTAAATAATTAAAATATTTAAACATTTTTTTTCTTTCAATAAAAGTTTTGATTAAATAAAATAATTATATTAGTTATTACATGGTATTTATTTATTTAATTTCGTATAGCACACATCATGGACAAAATTGTTTTTTTTTTAGCAAATACATATTTAATTGCAAATGGCAAAAATTCTAACAATTTTTTTTTAATTTTAATTAAATTTTATTTTTATTTATTAATAGGTTTATTTTTTTAATTTGTTTCAGTCTTATTAAAAACAACAGAATATATATATTTAAACATATTTTATATATAACATGTGACTAATATTAAATAAAAATTTAAATTAAAAAAAAAAAAAAGAAAAATAATTAACAAAAATGTTAAAGGGCAAACTAAAACCAAATTTTTGTCATGGATCCCAAATATATATATATATATATAGATTAGAACATTGGGCCACTATAATATATTAGTCATTAATTTGAAAGTAGTTTAAGTCCATTTTTCTTATATTGAGATATTTAAAGGTTTGGGTTTGATTTGTTTAAATATTTAAATATTGTTTTAAAATATATTGTTAAGTGATATTAATTTTGTTTGTGGCCCTGTCTGTCCTTAATTATGATAGAACACATAATGTAATATATTTTTGTAAATTTTTCTAGAAAATCAAAATTTGTATCTGAATCTAAAATGGACTTAAATCACTTTCAAAATAAATGAGTCATACATCAATTTCGTTCATATTGGTTTTAGTATGCCCTTTGAATTGACTTCTGTCAAAAAATAAACTCATAAAGCACACAAAAATACAAATTTTACCAATTTTTGTTTATTTAATATTTTTAAATTAATTATTTACAATTATATATTTAAATTATTTATTTTAATTTATATTTTATAATTTTTTAATTTAATATATTGTTAATAAAATATCGCATTTTATTCTTTACGATTTTTGTTTTATTTTCTTTTATTTTCGAAGAATGTTTACGAAGAACTAAATGACAGTTGTTGTTTTGAGTTAATTTTTTGTTGTAGTTGTTGGTACATATCGAATGCCAATCAATCGATGGATCTATGGATTATTATTTTCACCGCAACACTGTATGCAATCCATGCAGTTATGCTACCTGTTGTTACCCTCAGTTTTCTTATTCATACTCATAGATGTCACCTGGAGCTTTTTTGGGGGGAAATTTGAAAAATAAACAGTCAATTAAAAACATTTTATGATTTATCGGAACTATATATTTTTTATAAACTATATTTTTAGTAAACAATTACAGACAAAAGATTATTATGTAGCTGAACTCATAATATGAAAATTGAAAATAAATTGGAAAATGTGAAAATGAAAGCTATAGATAGTGAAGATTGGTGGTAATGGAAACTGTGTTGAAAATCTATACTAATAAAAGAGTAAAGTGATTGACTGACTGACTGACTGACTTAACGATTCATCAACGCCCAGACGAAACGGTTGAAGCTAGAATCTTGAAATTTTAGGTGATGGCTACTCTTGGTACAAAGGTGTCAGATAAGGCTGGGTTTTGGAAATTCGTACTAGAACGGTACGAAAAGTTCTAAATGTTGTATCATTTGTATTTGGCGAACCGTTAGAGCTAGAAATGAAATGAGGGTCACTGATGGATGGATGTAGTACAAATGTAGCAAAGGATTGTTTGAAAATTCGAACTATAAGTATCCGAAAAGTACTAAAATATACTAAATTTGGTACAATTTCGTAGCATGTGAATGGAAAGAGCTAAAAACTTGAAATTTGGAATGCGATTTAAGGTTGGGAAGTAGGGTCGATAAAAGGAGATGATTTTGAACGCGTATACTCATGTTTACGAAAAGTACTATATGGTACAATATTTGGTACAAATTTGATTTGGAGGTACAAATCGGGCTGAAATCCTGAAAATTTAAATTAACATTACCGTCGAAGTGGAGGATTGAGATATGTACGAATTATTTTACTTATGTGTACGAAAAGTACTAAATCGTACGATAGAGCTGGAATAATGAAATTTCGAGTTAGGATCATTGTTGGGGTGTAGGATTGGTGTATGTAGGAAATTTTGGAAATTCGTACTAATGTGTACTATATGGTACCAAATTTGGATTTGAGTGAACCGGGTACTAAATTTGGTACAATTAGAATTTTGGGAGGACTGATGGAGCTGGGATCCTGATATTTGGAGTAAGGATAATTGTTGGGGTTTAGGATTGGGCTATGCAAAAAGTTTTGGAAAATCGTACTAATGTGTACAAAATGGTACCAAATTTGAATTTGGGCGTACCGGTAGAGCTGCAATATTGAAATTTATTGGGGGTTTGTAAAAAGTTTTGGAAATTCGTACTAATGTGTACAAAATGGTACAAAATGTGGATTTAGATGAACCGATAGAGCTGGAACGCTGAAATTTAATAGAGCTGAAGTATTGACATTTGAAGTTAGGATCACTGTAGGGGTGTTGGATTGGGGTAAGTAAGTTTTGGAAATGTCTATTAAATGACATTAAATTTGGTACAATTTGGATTTAGAGTGAACCGATAGAGCTGGAATGCTGACATTGAGTAACAAATTTGGATTTGGATGAACCTATGTTTGAAATGTGGATTTTTTTTCGAACTAAGTATTGGAAGAGTACAAAGGGCAATAAATGATACAAAATTTAGTATAGAGCTAGATTTCTGCTGCGGTCAGAATTGGTGTGCAGAGTTGAGATATATAGGACTTTTGGAAATACGGTATTTGTCGGTATTGGTTTTTAAATAATTCCCACATTCGGTAACGAAGTTGAAAAAGGCCTACGTCAACTGTCCATTATTAATCTAAGACCTCCAAAAAAGACGAAGTGGAAAAGTTTCCGAATCATATTATTTATGGAAGAGGTGATCAGACAATTGACCAATTGGTCTTAATTTGTCACCTTGACACTTTTTAATTTATTTATTATTTATGTCAACAGTTCTGCATCGATTCAATACCTAATTATATAGGAAAAAATTAGCCTTTTTTCACTGAAACATATTGTACTACAGTTTTCTGCTTTGGTACACTGCAGTAATATTTTCTATAAAAATTACGACCGTTACCAACAGTACCATATTTCTCTATTGAAGATCCTCCTAACGGATTGTATTGATCGAGTGCTGGAAAGCAGAATTATCAATTCATTCAGTTCCGTGAGGAAATCTGTCAACAGAGGACAGAGGGTGGAGTATTATATCCTCTGAAATTCGATCTCTTCAGGATAAATGTTGTAGCCTATGCCGATGATGTAGTCCTGCTAATCGGTGGGAAATTATTAACTCTGTCTAACTGTGCACACGCGCTTGTAGCGCTCTACTACTGCAAAGTCTTTATAGATGAGAGCTGGGGTCTAAAACCGGCTGTATGTAACGGTTGTACTCCCCATTCTTACATATGACTGCCTTTTATGGTGGCAACGCTGCTGGCCAAAATGAGTACAGTATAGCGATCGGTGTCCATCCTAATTACTGGAGCGCTAAGAAACACACCACAGGCAGCTATGAATACAATGCTGAATCTCCAGTCATTGGACATGCGGGTTAAATTCAAGGCTGCAAGATGTGCTTTGAGGTTCCGGGAAACGGATGCCTGGAAGTCATTGAACGGTGATTATATATGTCAATGGTCAGACGGCACTTAAGGCACTTACGTCGTTTACTATTAACTCAAGGATGCTCTACTTAATATACGACAGATAGTTATTATGTTGGGTTCCAGGACACAGTAACATAGAAAGGAACGAGATAGTCGATGAGCTTGCTCGAGGGAGTTCAAAGTCGTCCAATCTATCGATTGAGGGATCTGTACAATATCCTATAGGCTACTTTATTGTTGCTGTGAGGAAGTCAGCAACATATGGTCAATAGAATAGCCATCTCAGAATTCTCTCGCCGTTGAACTTCTTCACTGTTGTCTCATAGTAGGAGGGAGATAAAAATGGCACTGTCTTTTTCGTAAATATGAAATTGATAATCAAGCATTCTTCCCCGGAATAGATCCGTAGCTGATCCTAAGATTTGTTAAAACTCTGACATGGCTAAAATAAATAGTTTTTCTATACTGTTAAACTTTGTCTATCTCTCCTCGATGAGGCACATTCTGCCGTAGCAAAGCGTAAATACTCTTATTAGCAGCCATAAGGCTGAGGGGATAAAAATGAACCATAGTTTAGCGGAAATCAAATATATGAATTTTCCACTTAAAATGCAAATTTGCAAAATCAACATTGAGGATTTTTCATATATGTAAGCAGCTATTAGTATTAAAAATCATTTCTCTCATTTACAGTTGGCTATATAAAAACCTGTTTTTATGGGAGATTTCAATATTGTGACCGATGTTTTTAGTTCATGCACATGTGTTTTATTTTGATTATATAATAATTAATATAATAGTGTTATACTAAATTTCGAAATTTACTACTAGTAGCCTCGATGAATACTAAATTTTATCTATATTCTAAATGTCAATGAAAAAACGTTTTTCATGCTTATTGAGAAGCTTGGTGAATAATGCATGTGGCTTCGTAATAAACAATTTAAATTTTTTTAATTATGCAAAAAAATTTCATTAATGACATAACTACTTATTTAAAACTGCATAAATATTAATATATGTATTTGTTTTCGTTTAACATCGAACCTTCATGTTTGTTCCTTGCATTTGTGTTGTGTGTGTAGACCTGAGTCTTTTATATTTTTAGTTTTTTTTCAAATTGTGAAAAATAACAATATTAAACATTATTAAGAATAACAAAAATAATTTCAATGTAAAGGAAACAGTGAATAAAAACTGTGTTAAGAAATAGTAAACAGAGTGAGGAACAGCAGCAAGTACATTAAACCAAAAGCAGAAACAATTGTATTTTAGACATAGAAAGACATACAGCAGTACGATCTCAATTTATTATTTGAATTTTACGGTAATATTTTCAAATTCTTTAAAAACATATAATATGTTTCAGTAGTTCAAATATATCAATTTCGTATAAATCGAGTTCGTACTGGGGTTTTTCATGGGAGGAAAGGGTGATGACTGAATTGTGAACTCTTAGCTTACCTGTAACGAGCGTATGGTATCTAATAAAGCTTTTTTCTCTTCCAATAAAATTGTAATATCATCTTGAGCTGCTTTCAGATAGGAACGTAATACATCGTTTTCTTGTTTGGTTTTTTGTCTGGAAAAAATAAATAAAAATTAATACAAATTTTGAGCTTTGAAAAAACATTCTTTGACATTCTGGATGAACCTTGAAAAAGCATTCTTTAAAATATCTTCGCACTGGATGAACCTTGAAAAAGCATTCTTTAAAATATCTAGGCCCTGGATGAACCTTGAAAAAATATTCTTTAAAAATCCACGCCTTGTTTGAGCCTTGAAAAAGTATTCTTAAAAAAATCCACGCCTTGTTTGAGCCTTGAAAAAATATTCCTTAAAAAAATCCACGCCTTGTTTGAGCCTTGAAAAAATATTCCTTAAAAAATCCACGCTTTGTTTGAGCCTTGAAAAAATATTCTTTAAAAATCCACGCCTTGTTTGAGCCTTGAAAAAATACTCTTCAAAAAATCTACATCTTGTTTGAGCCTTGAAAAATTATTCTTTAAAAAATCTACGCCTTGTATAGGACCTCAAAAATAGTATTTAAAAAATCTACGCCTTGTATAGGACCTCAAAAATAGTTTTTAAAAAATTTACGCCTTGTATAGGACCTCACAAATAGTCTTTAAAAAATCTACGCCTTGTATAGGACCTCAAAAATAGTATTTAAAAAATCTACGCCTTGTATAGGAGTTCAAAAATAGTCTTTAAAAAATCTACGCCTTGTATAGGACTTCAAAAATAGTCTTTAAAAAATCTATGCCTTGTATAGGACTTCAAAAACAGTCTTTAAAAAATCTACGCCTTGTATAGGACTTCAAAAATAGTTTTTAAAAAATCTACGCTTTGTATATGACTAGACCTCGGATTTTTGCATATTTTTTATGCTTTATCCGATTGGACTCAAATTTTGTATTTAGGCGTTTCATGCTTTAATTGATCGATATTTGGGGTCATGTCAAAAATATGCAAAAAATATGCAAAAAATATGCAAAATATATGCAAAAAATATGCAAAAAATATGCAAAATATGCAAAAAATATGCAAAATATGCAAAAAATATGCAAAATATGCAAAAAATATGCAAAATATGCAAAATATGCAAAAAATATGCAAAATATGCAAAAATATGCAAAATATGCAAAAAATATGCACGGTATGCTAGGTCGATATGCGATAAATATATGCAAAAAATATACAAAATATGCATTGTCGATATGCAAAATATGCAAAAATATGCAAAATATGCAAAAATATGCAAAATATGCAAAAATATGCAAAATATGCAAAAATATGCAAAATATGCAAAATATATGCAAAATATGCAAAAATATGCAAAAATATGCAAAATATGCAAAATATGCAAAAATATGCAAAATATGCAAAATATATGCAAAATATGCAAAATATATGCAAAATATGCAAAATATGCAAAAATATGCAAACATATGCAAAATATGCAAAAATATGCAAAATATGCAAAAATATGCAAAATATGCAAAAATATGCAAAATATGCAAAAATATGCAAAATATGCAAAAATATGTAAACATATGCAAAATATGCAAAAATATGCAAAATATGCAAAAATATGCAAAATATGCAAACATATGCAAAATATGCAAAAATATGCAAAATATGCAAAAATATGCAAAATATATGCAAAATATGCAAACATATGCAAAAATATGCAAAATATATGCACGGTATGCTAGGTCGCAATATTAAAGATAGAACTTTGAAATTTTGCACATATATTATTATTACTCCTAGGATGTTTGGTATTGGAAATGGGATATATCGGTCCACGTTTTAGTATATCGCCATATAACGGTTATATATGTTTGCATGTTTTATACATATATTTAGCAAATTTTTCATAATGCCCCAAAAATCTAACAGTTGAACCATGAAACGCATACATACACAATTAGATTTCTATAGGTTAAAAATAAAGAAAGCACACAAATTCGAAAACTACCCTGAAATTTTATTTTATTTTATTTTTTTTTTTTTGATTAAAATGATTGAATATGTGAAATATGTTGCTCATATTTGCACATATTTTGCATATTTTTGCCTATATTTTTCATATTTTTTGCATATTTCTCGCATATCGACCTAGCATACCGTGCATATTTTTTTGTATATTTTGCATATTTTTTGCATATTTTTGCATATGTTTGCATATTTTGCATATGTTTGCATATTTTTGCATATGTTTGCATATTTTGCATATATTTTGCATATTTTGCATATATTTTGCATATTTTTGCATATTTTGCATATGTTTGCATATTTTGCATATATTTTGCATATTTTGCATATATTTTGCATATGTTTGCATATTTTGCATATATTTTGCATATTTTGCATATTTTTGCATATTTTGCATATGTTTGCATATTTTGCATATTTTGCATATTTTTGCATATTTTGCATATGTTTGCATATTTTGCATATATTTTGCATATTTTGCATATTTTTGCATATTTTGCATATGTTTGCATATTTTGCATATTTTTGCATATTTTTGCATATTTTGCATATGTTTGCATATTTTGCATAGTTTTGCATATTTTGCATATTTTTTGCATATTTTGCATTTTTTGCATATATTTTGCATATTTTTGCATATTTTTCCATATTTTGCATATATTTGCATATTTTCCATATTTTGCATAGTTTTGCATATTCTGCATATTTTTGCAAATTTTGCATATTTATAGCATATCGACCTAGCATACCGTGCATATTTTTTGCATATATTTTGCATATTTATCGCATATCGACCTAGCATACCGTGCATATTTTTTGCATATTTTGCATATTTTTGCATATTTTAGCATATATTTTGGATATTTTATGCATATATTTTGCATATTTATTGCATATCGACCTAGCATATTTTGCATATTTTTTGCATATTTTGCATATTTTTTGCATATTTTGCATATATTTTGCATATTTTGCATATTTTTTGCATATTTTGCATATATTTTGCATATTTTGCATATTTTTTGCATATTTTGCATATTTTTTGCATTTTGCATATTTTTTGCATATCTCGTGCATATGCAAAATATGCAAATATGCAAAAAATTAAAAAATATGAACCCTTCAAATAATTCTAAATCCTTTGAAACGAATTTGTGTCCAATCAGAATTTCGATATCTTCATTATTAAAAAATATGCAAATATGCAAAATCCGAGGTCTATTATAAAATATTCTTTAAAAAATCGACGCCTTTGGTAGGGGTAAGCCTTTAAAAAATATTCTTTAAAAATCCACGCCTTGTTTGAGCCTTTGGTAGGCCTAAGCCTTGAAAAATATTCTTTAAAAAATCGACGCCTTTGGTAGGCCTAAGCCTTGAAAAATATTCTTTAAAAAATCGACGCCTTTGGTAGGCCTAAGCCTTGAAAAAATATTCTTTAAAAATCCACGCCTTGTTTGAGCCTTTAAAAAATATTCTTTAAAAATCGACGCCTTTGGTAGGCCTAAGCCTTTAAAAAATATTCTTTAAAAATCGACGCCTTTGGTAGGCCTAAGCCTTTAAATAATATTATTTAAAAATCCACGCCTTGTTTGAGCCTTTAAAAAATATTCTTTAAAAAATCGACGCCTTTGGTAGGCCTAAGCCTTGAAAAAATATTATTTAAAAATCCACGCTTTGTTTGAGCCTTTAAAAAATATTCTTTAAAAATCCACGCTTTGTTTGAGCCTTTAAAAAATATTCTTTAAAAATCCACGCCTTGTTTGAGCCTTTAAAAAATATACTTTAAAAAATCTACGCGTTGTATAGGACCCTAAAAAAAATATCCTTGTTTGAGCCTTTATAAAATATTCTTTAAAAAATCGACGCCTTTGGTAGGGGTAAGCCTTTAAAAAATATTCTTTAAAAATCCACGCCTTGTTTGAGCCTTTGGTAGGCCTAAGCCTTGAAAAATATTCTTTAAAAAATCGACGCCTTTGGTAGGCCTAAGACTTGAAAAAATATTCTTTAAAAATCCACGTCTTGTTTGAGCCTTTAAAAAATATTCTTTAAAAATCGACGCCTTTGGTAGGCCTAAGCCTTTAAATAATATTATTTAAAAATCCACGCCTTGTTTGAGCCTTTAAAAAATATTCTTTAAAAATCCACGCCTTGTTTGAGCCTTTAAAAAATATTCTTTAAAAAATCTACGCGTTGTATAGGACCTCAAAAAAAATATCCTTGTTTGAGCCTTTATAAAATATTCTTTAAAAAATCGACGCCTTTGGTAGGCCTAAGCCTTGAAAAAATATTCTTTAAAAATCCACGCCTTGTTTGAGCCTTTAAAAAATATTCTTTAAAAATCGACGCCTTTGGTAGGCCTAAGCCTTTAAATAATATTATTTAAAAATCCACGCCTTGTTTGAGCCTTTAAAAAATATTCTTCAAAAAATCGACGCCTTTGGTAGGCCTAAGCCTTGAAAAAATATTAAGCCTTTAAAAAATATTCTTTAAAAATCCACGCCTTGTTTGAGCCTTTGGTAGGCCTAAGCCTTGAAAAAATATTCTTTAAAAATCCACGCCTTGTTTGAGCCTTTAAAAAATATTCTTTAAAAATCGACGCCTTTGGTAGGCCTAAGCCTTTAAATAATATTATTTAAAAATCCACGCCTTGTTTGAGCCTCTAAAAAATATTCTTTAAAAAATCGACGCCTTTGGTAGGCCTAAGCCTTGAAAAAATATTATTTAAAAATCCACGCTTTGTTTGAGCCTTTAAAAAATATTCTTTAAAAATCCATGCTTTGTTTGAGCCTTTAAAAAATATTCTTTAAAAATCCACGCCTTGTTTGAGCCTTTAAAAAATATTCTTTAAAAAATCTACGCGTTGTATAGGACCTCAAAAAAATATTCTTTAAAAATCTACGCCTTGTTTGAGACTTTAAAAAATATTCTTTAAAAATCCACGCCTGGTTTGAGACTTTAAAAAATATTCTTTAAAAAATCTACGCCATGTATCGGACCTCAAAGAATATTCTTTACAAAATTTACGCCTTGTATAGGACCTCAAGAATATTCCTTAAAAAATCTACGCCTTCTTTGAGCCTTGAAAAAATATTATTTAAAAAATCAACGCCTTGGCTGAGCCTTGTAAAAATTCTATGTATATTCACCTATATGCATCCGAATTCTCCTTGGCCTGTTGCAATTGCCTCCTCAGGTTATCATTGTCCAATTTGATTTGTTGCATTACCAGCTGCAGTGATATCAATTCTCGATCACGTTCTCTTTCACGTGGCGTTGGTTCAGGTGTTTTAAATAAAGCTGAGGTAAGCGGATAATTAGCGGAACCAGGACCATTGAGGTTTGTTTCTAAAAAAGAAGAAAGGTATATATTAATTAAAAAAATATAGAGAACAGAAAGTGAGGGTTTTCAGGGGCTGTCCGCCCTGGACCAGGTTGAGGGAAGTTCTCCAAGTATATATTTTTGGTCGGTATATTCTCCTACCTATTGGTTGTATATGAAGTAAACCATTTTTATCACGTTTCAAATGCATGCGGCCAATGGCCAAATTAATGGGCACAGGTCCGGGTGAGGTAATATTAACAGGTGGACGATCCTCGATTAGATTAATGCGAACATTTTCCAATGACACCTGCAATTAAATTCAAATTAGAATCTATTCCAAAAAAATCCATTCCATTGTTCGTGACTCACATTCACTGGCAAAGGATTCGTTGAGATCACTTCATCTTCGGCCAAATCGGCCAGACCAATAACCGTACTCATCGACAAATCCAAAGAGACATCACTGACACGTATATCGGCACTGTGGGATACCAAACTGTTGAGATTGAAAAAAATAAATTAGAAAATTTAAAACCCTTTCAAAAATATGGCAGATCCGGGCAGAGAAGTTTCGATCAAGAATTAGAGTAGAACTTTCATTATGAGTTATCACTAATTCCGATCCGACTTCTCTGCCATGGAATATTGCGTAAAATCCTCAACTTACCTCTGAAAACTTTTCTTGTCATGCACATTGACGGCCACATCACTCAACGGCTTCATTGTCTCCTCCAAACGCAGCCGTATGCAGGGTGGTGCTTCTGGATTATAAGGAGCTAAATTCCATGCTTTACAACGGGCTCCAAACTTATTCTAAATTATAGGATGGTTGGTTGGTTTTTGTACATTTCGGAAAATGACACACACACACGTTGGGAAAAAATGGAATGGAAAAAGAAAATAAAAAACACATAAAAATTGATTCGGAAATTGAGGTATTATTTTTGTGGTTATATATTTTGTTTAAAACTAGATTGCACACCTAAAGCCAGAAGCAAAGCAAATTAAAAAATGTAACTTTAATATGTTATATATTATAGACACCAAAAATATATAATTACAACGAAAAAAGAAAGCAACAACAAATAATACACAAATGCACTGAAGAAGTTAGACCCCAATTCTGTACAAATGATCTATTTTCGGTCCATAGTATAGTGTTAAATTATATATAAAGTTAAAAAAAAGAGATCGCAGTTTTTACAATAATATGTTCCAAGTTCCGCGCGAAGTGTAGATTTTTTATAGAATAGTTTTTAAGGTCCATCCAAAGCGTGGATTTTTTAATGAATATTTTTTGAAAGTCCCTGCGAAGAGTGAATTTGTTAAAACATATTTTTTCAAGGTCCCTGCGAATATATTTTTTCTGGAACCAAAAAAGCTCGATTTTTTAAATAATATATTTTAGTTAAAGAAATTGTGTGGATGTATAAAATTTTTTTTTTGAAGGTCCACTCATAGTGAGGATTTTTTTTTTATTTTTGCAAAGTCCATTCAAGAATGTTATACTATTAACATATCTAATACACAGAGAAAAAATATGAAACATACATAAGCAAATTTCTAATAAAATATACAAAAACAATTAAGACAAAAATAGAATTTAAAGTGCAAGTGATAAACTATTAACTATTTTTTTTTAATTTTGAAAACAAAAAATAAGAAAATTAATCAAATCTAATGCAATTTTTTTTCTAGTGTAACTAAGTGTTGTTATTGGGTATTTCAGTTGTGTACTAGGTGTATGTGTGTGTGTTTTCTAAAATTTAAAGTCAATCTAAAGAAGAAAGATTTCCATAGGAGATAAGGAGGAAAATGTAATGTGGTTTTTGTACTCCAATTGCAAATTCAAATTTTTTAAAAAAATATGAAATTGTCTCTCAATTGGTATTTTTCAAAACTCGTTGAACTAATTTTAACAATAACACCAATATTAAATTATGTAGTAGGCAAAGAAATAATTAAAAATATTTATGAATAAATAGTATTAAGATCATATGACAAAAGGAAAATAAACAATTTGAAAACAATATTCCCTCTGAATTGGCAAACATCTGATTTTCCGTCGATTCTGCATATGGTTTTCTTGATATTGAGGAGGATTAGGCCTGACTTTTTTGAAATAACAAAATATAGAAAAACAACGCAATAATTTTGTAAATTAAACCAGTAAGGAAAGTAGTAAAGTCGGACGGGACCGACAATATGATACCCTTCACCACTTTTGGTACATTCAACAGATGAATCCTAATCCGAATGAATCCGATTTCAATGAAACTTAACAGAGATTAATTTATATAACTACAGTTCCTTGTACAAAATTTGTGGCAATCGGACAAACTTTGGGTCTTTAGTCGACAATTTACATAAAATCGGAAGAAAAAATATATAGGAGCTATATCTAAATCTGAATCGAAAATGTATATGGGAGTTATATCTAAATCTGGACCGATTTTCAAGAAACTTAACACATCATTCTAGACCTAATTCATTACGCAATGCCAAATTTCGTGAAAATCGAGAGGTATATAGGGACTTTGGTACACCATTTGTATTAAATCGGACAAAAATATATATGAGAGCTTTATCTAAATCCGGACCAATTTTCAGGAAACTTAACACACATCATTCTGGATATAATACATTACGCTATGCCAAATTTCGTGCAATTTGAAAGATATATAGGGACTTTGGTACACCATTTACATTAAATCGGACGAGAATATATATGGGAGCTATATCTAAATCTGGACCGATTTTCAGGAAACTTAACACACATTTACATTAAATCGGACGAAAATATATATGGGAGCTATATCTAAATCTGGACCGATTTTCAGGAAACTTAACACACATCATTCTGGATATAATTCATTACGCTATGCCAAATTTCGTGCAAGTCGAGAGATATATAGGGACTTTGGTACACCATTTATATTAAATCGGACGAAAATATATATGGGAGCTATATCTAAATCTGGACCGATTTTCAGGAAACTTAACACACATCATTTTAGACCTAATTCAGCACGCTGTGCCAAATTTCGTGCAAATCGAAATATATATAGGGACTTTGGTACACCATTTACCTTAAACCGGACGAAAATATATATGGGATCTATATCTAAATCTGAACCGATTTTTTCCAATTTCAATAGGGTTCGTCCTTGGACCAAATAAGTGACCTATGCCAAATTTCAACCAATTCGGATAATAAATGCGACCTGTACTTTGTTTACAATTTAACATGGACAGACAGACGGACGGACGGACATGCATAAATCGACTTAAATTGTCCATATTCTCAAAAGAACCCATGTGTCTATCTCGTTTCCTTTTGCCTGTTACAAACATATGCACAAAGACATAATACCCTGTACCACAGTGTGGTGAAGGGTATAAAAACCATAAGTCCAGTAGACTCGGACCAACTCTGGAACATGAGAAATACAACTTCGAGGTAGTGAACGATGAAAACCTCGGAATGAATGAATACCTCGGTACCGCCTTAAACAAAACTAATAACATCAACTTTGAAATCCGGAGGATATTATTGTTAGCCAATAGATGCTACTATGTTCTAAGTAAACAGTTTATATACAAGGCCACCTCTCGCAAGACCAAACTCAGACTCTACAAGACACATGGGTACTTGCGCAAGCTGATGAGACAGCTCTTGGGGTGTTTGAGAGGAAAATTCTTCGAAAGATCTAAAGGCCGTTCTGCGTCGACGACGAATATCGTCGTCGAATAAACCACAAGCTTTACATTCTATACGCGGACATCCACATAGTCAATCGTATTGAGCTACAGCGACTACGGTGGCTAGCCCATGTTGAGCGAGCCTACTGATGGTCCACGCAGAAGGGGAAGGCCACGAATTCGATGGAAAGATCAAGTAGAAGACAACATATCAGAACATGGTCTTTCAAATTGGATGAGATGCGCACAAGACCGACACGCTTAGAAAATGTTTTTAAGCTCGGCTTATGGAACAACCGTTCTGTATCAAGCCAGCTAAGTAAGTATAAGGACCCAGGACACTACAAGGCGTGGATTTCTTCAAAAATATTTTTTCCGGGACCCTTAAATAATATTTTTTCCAGGACTCTACAAGGTGTGGATTTCTTCAAAAATATTTTTTCCGGGACCCTTAAATAATATTTTTTCCAGGACCCTACAAGGCGTGGATTTCTTAAAAAATATTTTTTCCAGGACCCTTAAAGAATATTTTTTCCAGGACCCTACAAGGCGTGGATTTCTTAAAAATATTTTTTCCAGGACCCTTAAAGAATATTTTTTCCAGGACCCTACAAGGCGTGGATTTCTTAAAAATATTTTTTCCAGGACCCTTAAAGAATATTTTTTCCGGGACCCTTAAATAATATTTTTTCCAGGACCCTACAAGGCGTGGATTTCTTAAAAAATATTTTTTCCAGGACCCTAAAAGAATATTTTTTCCAAGACCCTACAAGGCGTGGATTTCTTAAAAATATTTTTTCCAGGACCCTTAAAGAATATTTTTTCCAGGACCCTACAAGGCGTGGATTTCTTAAAAATATTTTTTCCAGGACCCTTAAAGAATATTTTTTCCAGGACCCTTAAAGAATATTTTTTCCAGGACCCTACAAGGCGTGGATTTCTTAAAGAATATTTTTTCCAGGACCCTTAAAGAATATTTTTTCCAGGACCCTACAAGGCGTGGATTTCTTAAAGAATATTTTTTCCAGGACCCTTAAAGAATATTTTTTCCAGGACCCTACAAGGCGTGGATTTCTTAAAGAATATTTTTTCCAGAACCGTACAAAGCGTGGATTTCTTAATTATTCAACTCGAACAAATAGTTAATTGTTCTGCCTGGCCGTTTTGAAACCTTACATGCTTATTTTAATACATATTTATATACGGTTAATTTAAAAATAAATGTACAAATAAAATTCACCAAGAAAATATATTAACCAAAGAAGAAACAGAGACACATAACCTCAAATGCAGAATTAAATAAAACAAAGTATTAAACTCCATAAGGAACAAACTACAAAGTAAAATAAATTGTTCACAGAAATGCAGTAAATTCAAAGAAACCAAAAAAACGAGAGAAAAGCAGAGCAAAATAAGAGAGAAATTTACAAACTAATGACCAGCGGCTTCAAAATGTCAAAGAGGAAAATAAAGTTTCACTTTGACTTACGAATGCTGGCCGTAACATAAAAAATAAAATGTATTAAATTATAACAAATAATAATTATTGAACAATGGCATAAATAGTAGGTTAGTAGTTAATTAGTTAGGATTATAATAATAATTGCAATAAACAATATAAATGGATTAATAATACCTTTTTAGCTTGTTGGGCATTCTTGTAAAATGTAATTTATATATTTTTGTTGGGTTTATTTTTTAGTTGAGAGATAACACAATGATGTTGTTGTATTTTTGGTTTGTAAAGTTGTTAACATTTGTTGTTGTTTTTGATGATGATGTAAAATTGTAGGTGTTGTGTTACAAAAAAAAATAAATAAAAATAACAAATCGAAGTTGATAACCAATAAATATTTTACAAGAATATTTTTTTTTTTTTTTTTTTTTTTTTTGCATAAAACAAAAAAAATTGGATTAATAAAAAAGAAAACAAAAAACACAATTTAATATTAAATATATGTATATATTAAAACACATTTTGTATATATAGAGAGAAAGGCAGACATTGAGAGAGAATTTTGGTTTTGTTTATAAGAAAAAAAAGAAAGAAAATTTTTAATTTTTTTACAATTTTGTTTTTGAATATATGTTTGTAACATGTATTAATATCGTATGTTTTTATATAATTTATGAAAAAATATATAGAGAGAAAGAGAAAATATGGTTTGTTTTATTTTAATAAAAACAATGAAATTAAGCAAACATACACTGGATATAAAAAGTGTGGGTACAGAGAAGATTTTTGTTTGGCTTAATTTAAATATTAATTTCTTGAGGATATTTGTGGTATGACAAATAATTTTAAAATATTAAAACGACCAAATTTAAAAAAAAAATAATTATTCAAAATTGTTTAATTTTTGATGTGATTTTAAACTGTACTTAGACTTCTTATACCTAGTGTATAAACACAAAATATGAAAGATATTAATTGGACAAAAATGTTTAATAATTAATTTACAAACATAAACATATAGAAAAAATTGTTTAAATGTTTTGGACAAAGAAGATAACATTTTGGAGGACTAATAGAGTTAGTCCAGGACCCTTTCAAGTCAAACATTATCCAACGCAAGGTGTAGATTTTTTTTTTTAATTTTTGTTAAGGGCCAACGGAAGGCGGAAGTTTTCAAATAATATTTTAAGGGACCAATATAATGCAGAGATTTTTAAGGACCACTACACGGCGTAGATTTTTTAATGACCACCGCAAGGAGTACTTTTTTAGGTTCATATCAAGCGTAGATTTTTAAAGAAATTTGTTTTTACGTCCTAAAAAAGCGTGGATTTTTTGAAAAATATTTTTCAAGATTTTTTAAAGAATATTTTTGAAAAGGACCTATACAAGGCGTGGATTTTTTAAATAATATTTTTTCAAGGTCCTACAGAGGCGTGGATTGTTAAAGAATATTTTTTCAAGGTCCTACAGAGGCGTGGATTGTTAAAGAATATTTTTTCAAGGTCCTACAGAGGCGTGGATTGTTAAAGAATATTTTTTAAGGCCTTAGACAAGGCGTGGATATTTTAAAGATTTTTTTAAATAATACCCTTCTTCTATTAAGACCCCAAATGTTCTTCTTTGTCCAAATTCAACTTGATAGAGTAAGAGATTAGGAAAGAGAAAATTTTTTAAATTTTTTGTTTTTAGAAAAAAGTGATTTTGAAACATGCAAAATTGTTTTTTTTTTTTATAAGCAAAACATTTATAGTTTTACAAGGAATGTTTTTTGTAAATTGGAATTTAAAAAAAGTTTATTTACAAAACAATTTTAATTTTTTTTATAATTAAAGCATTTTCAAAAAGGGGTAAATTTAAAGAATTTAAATGGTGAAAATAATGGAAAAAAGGAACGAAACACAAAACATAACAAAATGAAAAAAACGTAACACATCGTAGAAAAGTAGAAAAGGAGAGAAAAAATCGAATCGAAATTAACCTCAATTCCAAACACTTACCTGTAGCTCATCCCATGGTATGGCACCGCATTCATCACACGAAATGGCCGCCACTTGAACACGTAATGTGGAATTGTTGCCCTCCTTTTGTTGGATGACCTCGACAGTGGTAAGTCTATATGAACAAGAAATATTTAATTTTTTTTTTTGAAAAAAATTACTTAATTTTCTTTTTTCGAAAAAGCAGTATTGAAGGAAATACTTTACCTAAAAGTAGCCATTGAAACCAAATCACGTCTTCGCCATGTACTGGCCTCTGAGGGCTCCGAGGAAATTCTCTACCTAAAAGTAGCCATTGAAACCAAATCACGTCTTCGCCATGTACTGGCCTCTGATGGTTCCGACGGGGAACTCAAATTAGTTTTAATTGGCTCCTCATACACTTCACTGGCCACCTCAACCGGTGATGCTTTCATATTACCATCAGTGGTAAAGGGATTCAAGCGGAACATAACATCAATACAATCCATGGTCTTGTCATCACCCATAACAATGGCGAAATTTTCCGAATCCGAACTAATGTCACTCTGTATGGAAAATGTGTCGCTCATATCATCATTTTGGGTGCGTGAGGTAATTGCCGAATCAATGGATGTCATAAAACTGGACAGGCCTTTTTTCATGGACATAAGACCTAAAGGGGAGAAGAAAATAGGGGGGTAATTATTTTATTTATTTACACCCAGATAAATTATTTTTTACATACCCGAATTGATTTCCTTGGTTATACTTGGAGCATCACTGGTCGAATTTTTGGTGGAACGAAAACTTTTCGTGGACGATGATGTGGCCGATTGTGTATAGATGCCAGTATCGGGTTTAATGGAAGAAGACTGACTGGTTGTGGTGGAGGAGGCCATTGTTGGTGTACTTTGTATTTGGACATTGTAACTGAAAAAAAACAATATTTTTCATTATTAGTTTTTCTTTAAAGAAAACATAACCTCAATATTTTTCTTCTTACCCATGTGTATTGGGATTGGACAAATGTATACCACTGTCAAAGGGTGCTTCATTTGTTATGGGCGATGGTGTTTCAACACTACCAAATGTATTGCTTTTAATTTGTTCCAAGGGTGGTGTAGGCCAGGTTATATTTGTACCTATCATTCGAAGTAAAAAAATAATAAAAATTGAAATTATTTTATTGTTAAATTATTGTGTTGTTGTTGGAGCTATTTCTTGCTTAGTGAGCTGACAAAAAGAGCGTCTAATTACACGATGCTACAATCAATGTTAGGACTGATTTAGTCGTATGGTATAATTCCAAAATCAAAACGGTGCAATTGTAGTATTTCCTGAATATATATTTTTATTTTATTTTTTGAGTGAGGTTATGGATTTTGATGTAATTTAATTTTTTTTTTTAAATAATTCGAATGAATAACTTTCATCCATCTTCAATTTGTTTGTTTAACATAACCTAAGTTTTTCAAATAATTTCATTTTTGTTTATCATAACCTCACTTTTTCAAATAATTTCATTTTGATTTACCATAACCTCACTTTTTATTATTAATTTCATTTTACATCAATTGTAGCATAGCGTTTTGATTGATTATTTTTTTTAAATTAATTTAAGCAATGATCTTGAAATATTTCACTACCACGGATTTCCACTATAAATATATGTTAGCTCTAAATTCTACCCAGTGCCATGAAAAAATATATATTTTAAAATTATTTTGAAAGTAAAGGTTATGAAAAAGTAAAAAAATGGCATATGAAAGGGAATTTTGAAATAAAGAATAAAGTTTACACAGATATAAAAAGAAGATTTTATATCTCGAATATATCTTTCGTAATTTCCAAATTGTCAGGACAAGTTTGTTTTCTGGAAATTGACCCCAGTTGTGTTAATATTTTTAACTTGGGGAAAGTTTTAAGACAATTCCCGTCCGTAGCTACGTTAACTTCCAAATGAATTACGATAGGGTGCTACGGTTTTGCATATAAGTTGTTTTGTCTGTAGATCAGATCCTTTTCGAAGATTGACTATATTGGTCGATGTTTAGGCATATCCCCGTATAACTATACCCCCGGATTTTAAGATTGTTTAATTGGCAAAAATATTTGTATACTCTCAGCCTTATGACTAATTAGTGTATAAAAACTTTGATGCGGCAATAATTTTGTTTGCAGAAAAGAATTTCTGCGACTTTGTCAGAGATGCAGCCGTTTGAGGTTTCCGAATTAATACCTATTTCCCAGCATAGGCAGAGGGATTAGAAAATTAGATTGATATGGATTGGAAGTCAATAGGTTAGTCGGCGAGCATAAGCGGGAAAATATGGCTAGTACATATAAAGTATTTTAATATCGGCAAAGGATAGTTTGTTGTGAACAACGGTTAAATCGTTCTCGAACTCAAAATGAAAGGATGATCGGACTTCTGTTGAGATCCATTCATGAATAATTTATAATAAACTCTGAGAACGACAGGCGATCTCTTCAAGCCACAAAAAGAACCACCACCATTACCGTTGGAGAATGTTGCAGAAACGCAAAATAACCGACAGCGCTTGTGTTGGTGGATGAGGACTGAAGTTTATAACCAATGTCCTCAATTTGGCATTAGCTACCCTAACAGTTCTCGAAGCCTGAAAAATGGACCTGACCTGCCCAACCAGAACTGTCCTATCACACGGGGAACATTTATGGTGGCCGTAGATATATGATAGTCAATCATACCAAACAGATCGATAACGTCAAAGAAACTTCCCTCCACTCTAGTCTGAAACTTTGGATCGTGAATTAATGTTCCACAGGTATCATTCGATAGCCTATGCAAGTCGTGCACGCATGCCACAGCTATTTGCCATAAAGTTGAAAGCAAGAACATGGTCAGTCAAGACACTAGCCCGTAGTACTAGTACTAGCTGCAGATAAAGAATTTTTGTTGACAAGCTATATTCGTGATAAGGTCAGAAGCAGGAACAAGGTCAGCCAAGTCACTAGCCGGCAGTACTAGGGAAGCTGCTGATAAAGTAGTCTTGTTGACAACCTATACAGCGATATGCCGGTCAATGGTAAGCTATGCCATTGTGTTTCCTCATACTCCAATACACCACTTACATAATGTCCAATACACCTTTCAATGTGCAGATCCATAATTCACACCACTAATTACCCTAAGATGGGTCACATTCGATAGCCCATATAATGTCAGGAGCAGCAACAGTGTCGGGAGCAGATCACTAGCCGGTAGTACCTGGCCGGTATGTGTTAATCTATGCGGCCAAAATGCCGCCCTGAAGATGACTCCAATAGACTACTTACATGGGGAGACAAAGATCTTTCCTGTGCGCCAACAAAACATGATGTAGTCAATGCTAAATTTGCTTGGTTGCATTCGAAACACCAACATTCGTTGCAGTACCTGCTTGGGTTTTTTTTAGAGAGAATCATCATCCTAAACATCATATGGTGGATATAACTCTCCAACCCGGGCTTGTCAGGAAGGATCTGTATGATCTATACAGAGCTATAAAATTGTGCCCAGCCCAGCATGTGATTCATGCCCGCACGCCACTCTGTCACTATTCAGTTGCCCCGCCAAGCCTACTCAACATATTCCGGAATATCTGTGGCTGCAGCCAGTTGAAATAGTGGCATTATTTTAATTTGAAGACAACTCCAGAATCTAGATGGTCTACGACTACTCGGCCCATTGTGTAAAATAAGTAGGGTTGCTACAACAACAGCATTCGTCAAGCTGGTATGTCAACAAATGATCTTCATGACCTCTTTATTTAGAGAGGTCCAAAGGTTTCAAAAAATATAGTCTATATATTAACAATGAATCCCACCGATGCTAGTCTTCGCGAAGACGATCTTCTATTTGAAGAATATTCTCTATTGATTGTATCTATGTTTGAAAGGTATTTTATCTGTAGAAGACCCCTCTAACAATGGGAGACTTCCAACTCTATTCGAGTTAGAAACATGGTTCATTTTGAGAATATGTACAGAATAACTTTCTGAGTCGATGTATGCATGTCCGTCCGTCCGTCTTTTTGTCTATCCATGTTAAATTGTAAACAAAGTACAAGTCGCTTTTATGATCCGAATTGGACGAAATTTGGTACAGCTCATATATTTAGCCCAAGAACAAACCCTATTGAAATTGGGAAAAATCGGTTCAGATTTACATATAGCTCTCATTTATAATTTCGTCCAATTAAAGGTAAATGGTACAGATTTTAGAATATTAAAGACCCATTAAAGTTTGAAGATCTGTCGAAAGCATCTAGAAATGTATTAATAACGGCCGCTCATAGGATAGAAACGGACCACAAGAATTTGAATTTAAGGTCTGAGTCACCGCATCTATAAAATATATCTTCAATATTTAGTCTGGGTTTATACATGCAACTTCTGTAAGCAACTCTGCTGAGTTCTTAGAAGTGAAAGGTATAAACTGTAAAAAGAGAATCGTAGAGAGCAGCAGCAGAGTTGCTTAAAAAAGTTGCATGTATAAACCCAGACTTACTAAAACTCGAATATAGAGACAGTTTAAATAAAAATAATATTTTAAAACATGCCATATGAAACGTATAAAAAATTGATATAAAAGGTGCACACAAATGTATAAAAAAATAAATATGTATATCAAAAAGGACATCAAGATCTTCAATGGAAAATGTGAGTCATAAAAAAAGAAAGAGATTAGTCTGCTATATGCAATATGGAAGCAAAGAAAATATTAAGAAAGGAAGCTTACAAAAAGAAAAAAACGAAACCAAAGATAGAATGGAAGAAAACAAAGAAAGTTCAATGATAGTTGTTATGGTAGAGTTGGAGGAGGAGCGGAGGCTTAAATAAAAAACAAAATCAAAAATACTCTTACTATTTATATGTAAATCATCACCCAAACTAGCTGAATCAGGTAAGACACTTTCAGCATCACCACCACTTGATTCCTTACCGGGTGTTGGAGACGGCATAACAAATGTCACCTCAATTTGTGGTACAACACAGCCCAGTATCAATGATTTGCTGGTGTTTTGCTACAAAAGAGAGAGGGAGAGAAAAAATGAAATTAGTATGGATTTACAACAACAAACCGTAAATCGAAAAAAACCTTTTGTAAAATCCTTTCAGCATCCAGTGACAAATAGGTAGACATCTCACTAAATTCCTCGGCCAAACGCAACAGAAACAATAGCTGATAGTGATCGATTTGAATGCTAACCAAATTCGAAATGTGACCAATGGCATGCAGATCGGCTGTACGTTCATTGGTCGAACTATTATTCGAAGAGGCCTGGGATTTACGATCGAAATTTATATCTTCTTCACTATCTAGGAATGGATTGCGTGGCAATTTATTGCTATTGACCGCATCCAAACGATTTATATTTGTATCCATTGATGCCGATGATGACGCCTGTCCCTTTGCTGTTGAAGCTGCCGATTGATCAAAACCACCAGCACCGCGAACATCACCGCCAACACTGCCACTGCCTTTGCGACTACCCACTTTACTTTGTGGCTCATTCGTGGCCGTCATAGCTCCAGAGCCCGAGTGTAGCCACAATGTTATGGGTACCGCATCAATGAAGGGTATCGATTTATTGGCCCCCAGCGATCGGGCACCCAAGAAATCTACCCACACTGGATCAAATTTAATACACCAAACATCTCTTGGTTCAGACCACATTGCATAGCGTGACAGGTTTTGTATGGATCCGGATTTGGGTATAGATGAAGAACGTCGTTGTTGTTGTTGCGGTTGGGAATAATGTGGTGCTTGGGCGCCATTGCCAACATCAGCGGCTGCAGCTGCTGCTGAAGCACCCACATCTGTTGCGGCAACATGTGACAATATACGATCCGTAACAATACACATATCACCGCGTGCCGAGGGAAATCCTGTACCAAAAACGAGAGAACCCTCCTGCAACGAATGTAAGGCTTGAGCAAGATCAGCACGTGATGAACCCATTTCACGTATATTGGTTAAAGCAAATCGTGATATTTGTATTTGCATCATTTTCGGACGATCCTTTTGATTCGGCGCCTCCAAAGACGATTCAATTACAATGCGAGGCATAATGGCCTCAACTTTAACATCCATATACATAAGGTTGGGTTCATTCGTCTCGTCTGCGACCACTGGCTGCGGTTCTTCATTATACAGAGAGAATTTTGAGGAGCCCTTTAGTGTCGTGGTGGCCTGTGAACCATGCGATCCGATGGTGGATGGTGATCCCACAGTTGTTGGGGAATTTGTTGCTGTTGGTGATACCGCTGTAATACTGGTACGCAATAGACTTTCGTGTAGATTCAAAGCAAAGGAATTCAGCCATAATATGGAACACAAATCGAAATGAATTTGCAATGGATTTATATGGACAAATACTTTGGAGGGGGGTACTGGAAGAAAAAACGGAGAAGATATTTGGATTATATTTTAAGAAAAATTTGAAAATTTGACATTTTTTACTTACGTGGAAAGATAAAATCGCCAGGATAATAGAAATATGTAAACTCGGCGTGTATGATTGGCATTTCTGCTGGAAATGAATAACGATCCTTATCACCTGAAAAATGTTTAAGATTTTATTAATAAGGATGAGGATGAAAATAAACCACTATTAAACAAAATCCAACTTCTACTTAACACAGAGGACAATTAAATACATGAAGACACTCAACACGAGATATATAGCCTAGCTTAGCCTTAGAAAAATTATTTTAAAAATCCACGCCTTGTGTAGAGCCTGTCGAAAAATTATTAAGACAAGTAAAAAAGCGCCAGTCGATGTTGCCAACAAATATATACCCCCAGCCTATGGTTAGCGGAGGTCTTCGGAATTAGACACAGATTTTATTATTAGTTTTATATAAGAAATATGTTTTGATAAGGTTTTTATAAAATATAGACCATTTGTGAGGGAGGTACCGGAAGGAGTGGACTACTGGGTCTAATCTTTGGACTTAATCTACACTTTGTAAAGATAATGGGTTGTGTAAAGTTTGGTTCATATCGACCATTCCATTCGCCTTATATTGGATTTACAAATATTGAAAATTTTTACCATTTGTGAGGCAGGTACCTGAAGCAGTGGACCAAAATATATGACATAGGCTTGGTAAAGATAATAGGCTGTGCAAGGTTCGATTCAAATCCGGCATTCCATTCGCCTGATATTGGGTTTACAAATATTGAAAATGTTGACCCTCTCTGGGGCAGGTACCAGAAAGAGTGGACCAATGGGTCCGATCTTCGGACTTAAGCTAGACCTTGTAAGGATAATGGGTTGTGCAAAGTTTGGTTCACGTCGGACCTTCCATTCGCCTGATATTGGATTTACAAATATTGAAAATTTTGACCATTTGTGGGGGAGGTACTAGAAGGAATGGACCAATCGGTCCCATCTTTCTACTTGATCTAGGCTTGGTAAAGATAATAGGTTGTACAAAGTTGCATTAAAATCGGATATAAAATAAATTTAGCACCCTCTGTGGGGCAGGTACCAGAAAGAGTGGACCAATGGGTCCCATCTTCAAACTTGATTCAGGCTTGGTAAATATAATACAAAGTTTCGTAGAAATCGGATAGTCCGTTTGCATGTTATTATAAAATTAATTTTTAGCACAATTTTGACCATTTTGTGGAGGAGGTACCAGAAGGAGTGGACCGATATTCCCCATCTTCGAACTTAAACTAAGTTTGGACGAAATATTAATCGGTGCTGCCTTCGATAGTTATCGTGCGCACCAACCAGCCAGCCATACAGACAGACAACGGACGGGGATGGATAAATCAATCGACTCCAAATTTTCTGAAACGGATTTTGTTCAAAGAAACATTGGGTCTAAAACCAACATAGAAATCTATCTTTCTGTGGATTTTTATTCCGAGCATGGGTAATATTTCGTGATAGTTGCACCCTCTTGACCGACTAGAGGTCAAAAAATATTACTAATATTCAGTACAGCCCTCCTAATTACTTGTTCACATTCCTTTCAGCATGGCTTGTGTTGTGATGTTCGGCTTTCAATTGTGGCCTTATATATATATTAAGTTTTTGGTTCAATTCATCCAAAACTATTATCTGATCATAAACGATAATTATAGGCGTTATACTTGACCATACTTGGATCCTCATGGATCCACATGTGACAATATAATAGTTATCAATTTAAAGGTCAACCACTCCTCTTGGATATACTATCAACTTCTCGGATCTATGTCCTTCAGGGGTAAATATATAAGCCATAGAATGCAAATTTTGTAATTTTTCACACAAAAGTCAGGGCTCAATTGACCCGTTAAATATTTTCCGATCTTTATAAAAACAGGCATGCTTATTCTATGGCCCAATCCCCTTCTCCATGTTAAAATTCGCGATGTGTGGACCAGAAAAACAGACAAAAACAAGTAAGGAAAGCAGTAAAGTCCGACTGGGCCGACTATATGATACCCTTCACCACTTTGGGTACATTGTACATATGTATCCTTACAATTGTATGCCAATGTTCCCTCGAAGGAACATACTCATGTCTTTCTGCAACCTATGATAATTGTAATTTCATTCGGGCAGATTTAGAGTCGTCTTCGTACCATGGGGTAAATTTATGGAAAACGATTTATAGCAAAATTGATAAAAGCTATTCGGTACGCCGCACTGTTAAACATTTAATTTCAATCAGACACCCACTCGAAATACATTCGGTACGCCACACTGTTAAAAATTTAATTTCAATCAGACACCCATTCGAAATACATACGGAAGCTATGGCTGTATATGTATCCCATAACGTCATTCAAGTCTCAGTTTGATACGTTGTGCAAAATTTCGTGTTAATCGGACAAACATTAGGAGTGTGGTGCAGCATTTATGTAAAATCGGACGAAAATATATATGGGAGCTATATCTAAATCTGTATCGATTTTCAGGAAACTTAACACACACATCATTCTAGACTTAATTCAGTATGCTGTGTCAGATTTCGTGCAAATCCAAAGATATATAGGAACTTTGGGGCACCATTTACATCGAATCGGGCGAAAACAAAAATGGGAGCTATATGTAAATCTGAACCGATTTTCTCGAAACTTAACACATGCCATTCTGGACCTAATTCAGTACTCTATGCCAAATTTCGTGCAAATCGAAATATATATAGGGTCTTTGGAACACCATTTACATTAAATCGGACGAAAATATATATGGGAGCTATATCTAACTATGAACCGATTTTTCCCAATTTCAATCGGGTTCGTCCGTGAGCAAAATAAATGAGCTGTGCCAAATTTCATCCAATTCGTATCATAAATGCGACCTGTACTTTGTTTATAATTTAACATTGACAGAGGGACAGACGGTCGGACATGCATAAATCGACTTAGGAAGTGATTCTATGCATACTCTCAAAAGAAACCATGTGTCTATCTCGTTTCCTTTTGCCTGTTACAAACATATGCACAAAAACATAATACCCATAGTGTGTGAAGGGTATAAACATATTTTTGGTCCTAAAACAATAAGGGCCTTCATTGGCCATAACTCATTCTACATGCAAAATTTCGTGAAGATTGGTCCATAACTGTGGCCTGTATGGTGTTTACAAATTATAATGGACAGACGGACGGACACACATGTCTAGATCGACTCAGCTAGTCGAGATGTGACAATCGGTATACTTAAAGGTGGGTCTAGGACCAATATTTCGCTCCGTTACAAACTCTTGGGGCTGCACAAAGCTTTAATACCTTGACAACATAGTTGTGTAGGGTATAAAAAATGTTCCTTCGAAATTATTTTTATAAAATCTAGGTGCTCATGTTTATTTAAAACAAATGTATATTACAAAAAAAATCACGCTATTATTAACAAATTTATTCACATGATTTGTAAAATAACAATAACAACAATTAAAAAAAAACAAAACATTGTACTAACACATATATATTTACATAAATTGCATGCAAGAACAAAAGAATCGGAACTGAGTAAAAACACAACAACCTATACTCGTAATATTTAAAATTCACCTGTTCTTGTTTTCCTTTTATGTTGTGCTACAATAAATTTAATTTTTTATAACCGATTTGTTGTTGTTGTAGTATTTTTTTTAATAACAACCGATTAAGGATTTAAATGAAAAACACAACAAGGACATAAATGGCAAAATAACAGCATAAATTAGAATGTTAATGTGTTTGGGTGGGAGAAAGGTAGGGGCATAGTTGAGAACAACAAAAAACGAGGAAACCAAACAGAAGCCAGACCATGATGTAGCCATAATGGCATAATGTTTTAGATTTTATGTGGTTTTGGTTCCCACAGACAGGAACAATGCAAAAAATGCAACAACAAAAAATATAGACGATAATTACAGCATTATAAGTACGTATGTATGGGATAAACAATGCAATTGGGGGTTGGGTAAAGCATAGAGGGAAAGAAATAAAAAATTGAAATAGAAATAAAATAAGTAAAGCGGAATTAGTTTTCTTAGCTGTTATACTAGGACAGAGGACTGCAGATAACCGGAATTTCAATGTAGTTCATAATATTACAATATTTATTTTTGGCTTAAGTCTAGTTTAGGGGCTCCACCCGGATCGCTTTGAAATTTTTGCCGTAAGTAGTCCTCGTTGTGCTGATTACAGTGATATATATTTTATTTGGGGGAAATGCATACTTCCCGAGATATGGGCCTTGAAAGTTTGGAATATACCTTGGTTAAAACGGCCGTTTTACTAATGCCACCAAAGCAATATGGGTATCATTTTAAAGGGTTTGAATAGTGCTTTAAAAATAAATATAGTATATCATTGTAAATTATATAATATTAACTAAAATTGAAAGAAAAAACATTTGGATTGCGTAGCCATGTATGCGCCTGTCCATAGGTGAAAGTCTTAAGCCCCGGCCGAAGGCCGGCTACTTAAAAAACCTTGAATTTGATTTGAAAATTGCTCTTAAAAAAGGATTTGGATTGCGTAGCCATGTATGCGCCTGTCCATAGGTGAAAGTCTTAAGCCCCGGCCGAAGGCCGGCTACTTAGAAAACTTTGAATTTGATTTGAAAATTGCTTTTAAAAAAGGATTTGGATTGCGTAGCCATGTATGCGTCTGTCCATAGGTGAAAGTCTTAAGCCCCGGCCGAAGGCCGGCTACTTAAAAAAACCTAAATTTGGTTTGGAAATTGCTCTTAAAAAAGGATTTGGATTGCGTAGCCATGTATGCGTCTGTCCATAGTTGAAAGCCTTAAGCCCCGGCCAAAGGCCGGCTACTTAAAAAACCTTAAATTTGATTTGAAAATTGCTCTTAAAAAGGATTTGTATTGCGTAGCCATGTATGCGCATTCGTTGTAAGCTTTAAAATGATACCCATATTGCCTTTGTGGCATTACTAAAACGACCGTTTTAATCAAGATATTCTCCGAACTTTCAAGGCCCATATCTCGGGAAGTATGCATTTCCCCCACATAAAATATATATCACTGTAATCAGCTCAACGAGGACTACTTACGGTAAAAATTTCAAAGCGATCCGAGTGGAGCCCCTAAACTAGACTTGTTCCTAATACCCCATACATTTTAATTTTAAATAATCCCCTCCTATCCTTACTTACCGGATATAAATTCTTTGGGCATTTGTTTTTTTCCCGATGTGGTAACGCGGTACAATTGGAAATCTTCAATGCGCAGAATAACACAGGAACTCATAAGCTTGGCCAAATTATCTAATATGGATTTTTGTTGATAGTTATGACTACTGCCAGCTGAACCGGAACCAGCCGATCCTGCTCCTCCTCCACCGCCTGCTGAGCCGGTATTGCTATATATCTGAGTGGGTGTACTACTACCGGTCGATGTAGTTGTCGGTTGTTTATTGGGATACATATTGGCCAAATTGGAAACATTTAAAGCTATGGGTGAGTTAGGGGTACTACGTTCTAGGGGAGCATGGCTGGATGGACGATTTGGTTGACTTAGATTGAGTACAGCTTCACGAAAAGCATTAAGGGATTCTTTTAACCATAAGGCTGGAGATGAAGAGGCTTCTTTGTATCTAACGGGAAGAGGGAGGAAAATAATTAGTTGAAGAAGTCTTTGATTTCATATCGAACATACTTAGCCCAATGAGATCTATCCGATTTGGCCAAATGATAGGGATAATAATCCACCTGGAATGCCTGAACGGAAATTTGTAAAGCACCACCTTTATCGAGATCGGGATAACTTGAACGGCCATCTGGAAAGAGATAGGGACATATATTAGTTCTAAAAATATGAAAAAACCCCGAACATAAAAAAATATTCGTTAAAAAATCTACGAACTTGAAAAATCTACAAAATAAAAAAAATATTTTTTAAAAAATCCACGCCTATTGTAGCCCTTGAAAAAATATTCTTTAAAAAATCTACGAACTTAAAAAAATATTTTTTAAAAAATCCACGCCTATTGTAGCTCTTGAAAAAATATTCTTTAAAAAATCCACGCCTATTGTAGCCCTTGAAAAAATATTCTTTAAAAAATCCACGCCTATTGTAGCCCTTGAAAAAATATTCTTTAAAAAATCCACGCCTATTGTGGCCCTTGAAAAAATATTCTTTAAAAAATCCACGCCTATAGTAGCCCTTGAAAAAATATTCTTTAAAAAATCCACGCCTATTGTAGCCCTTGAAAAAATATTATTTAAAAAATCTACGAACTTAAAAAAATATTTTTTAAAAAATCCACGCCTATTGTAGCCCTTGAAAAAATATTCTTTAAAAAATCCACGCCTATTGTAGCCCTTGAAAAAATATTCTTTAAAAAATCCACGCCTATTGTAGCCCTTGAAAAAATATTCTTTAAAAAATCCACGCCTATTGTAGCCCTTGAAAAAATATTCTTTAAAAAATCCACGCCTATTGTAGCCCTTGAAAAAATATTCTTTAAAAAATCCACGCCTATTGTAGCCCTTGAAAAAATATTCTTTAAAAAATCCACGCCTATTGTAGCCCTTGAAAAAATATTCTTTAAAAAATCCACGCCTATTGTAGCCCTTGAAAAAATATTCTTTAAAAAATCCACGCCTATTGTAGCCCTTGAAAAAATATTGTTTAAAAAATCCACGCCTATTGTAGCCCTTGAAAAAATATTCTTTAAAAAATCCACACCTATTGTAGCCCTTGAAAAAATATTCTTTAAAAAATCCACGCCTATTGTAGCCCTTGAAAAAATATTCTTTAAAAAATCCACGCCTATTGTAGCCCTTGAAAAAATATTCTTTAAAAAATCCACGCCTATTGTAGCCCTTGAAAAAATATTCTTTAAAAAATCCACGCCTATTGTAGCCCTTGAAAAAATATTCTTTAAAAAATCCACGCCTATTGTAGCCCTTGAAAAAATATTCTTTAAAAAATCCACGCCTATTGTAGCCCTTGAAAAAATATTCTTTAAAAAATCCACGCCTATTGTAGCCCTTGAAAAAATATTCTTTAAAAAATCCACGCCTATTGTAGCTCTTGAAAAAATATTCTTTAAAAAATCCACGCCTATTGTAGCCCTTGAAAAAATCCACGCCTATTGTAGCTCTTTAAAAAATCCACGCCTATTGTAGCCCTTGAAAAAATATTCTTTAAAAAATCCACGCCTATTGTAGCCCTTGAAAAAATATTCTTTAAAAAATCCACGCCTATTGTAGCCCTTGAAAAAATATTCTTTAAAAAATCCACGCCTATTGTAGCCCTTGAAAAAATATTCTTTAAAAAATCCACGCCTATTGTAGCCCTTGAAAAAATATTCTTTAAAAAATCCACGCCTATTGTAGCCCTTGAAAAAATATTCTTTAAAAAATCCACGCCTATTGTAGCCCTTGAAAAAATATTCTTTAAAAAATCCACGCCTATTGTAGCCCTTGAAAAAATATTCTTTAAAAAATCCACGCCTATTGTAGCCCTTGAAAAAATATTCTTTAAAAAATCTACGAACTTAAAAAAATATTTTTTAAAAAATCTACGAACTTAAAAAAATATTTTTTAAAAAATCCACGCCTATTGTAGCCCTTGAAAAAATATTCTTTAAAAAATCCACGCCTATTGTAGCCCTTGAAAAAATATTCTTTAAAAAATCCACGCCTATTGTAGCCCTTGAAAAAATATTCTTTAAAAAATCCACGCCTATTGTAGCCCTTGAAAAAATATTCTTTAAAAAATCCACGCCTATTGTAGCCCTTGAAAAAATATTCTTTAAAAAATCCACGCCTATTGTAGCCCTTGAAAAAATATTCTTTAAAAAATCCACGCCTATTGTAGCCCTTGAAAAAATATTCTTTAAAAAATCCACGCCTATTGTAGCCCTTGAAAAAATATTCTTTAAAAAATCCACGCCTATTGTAGCCCTTGAAAAAATATTCTTTAAAAAATCCACGCCTATTGTAGCCCTTGAAAAAATATTCTTTAAAAAATCCACGCCTATTGTAGCCCTTGAAAAAATATTCTTTAAAAAATCCACGCCTATTGTAGCCCTTGAAAAAATATTCTTTAAAAAATCCACGCCTATTGTAGCCCTTGAAAAAATATTCTTTAAAAAATCCACGCCTATTGTAGCCCTTGAAAAAATATTCTTTAAAAAATCCACGCCTATTGTAGCCCTTGAAAAAATATTCTTTAAAAAATCCACGCCTATTGTAGCCCTTGAAAAAATATTCTTTAAAAAATCCACGCCTATTGTAGCCCTTGAAAAAATATTCTTTAAAAAATCCACGCCTATTGTAGCCCTTGAAAAAATATTCTTTAAAAAATCCACGCCTATTGTAGCCCTTGAAAAAATATTCTTTAAAAAATCCACGCCTATTGTAGCCCTTGAAAAAATATTCTTTAAAAAATCCACGCCTATTGTAGCCCTTGAAAAAATATTCTTTAAAAAATCCACGCCTATTGTAGCCCTTGAAAAAATATTCTTTAAAAAATCCACGCCTATTGTAGCCCTTGAAAAAATATTCTTTAAAAAATCCACGCCTATTGTAGCCCTTGAAAAAATATTCTTTAAAAAATCCACGCCTATTGTAGCCCTTGAAAAAATATTCTTTAAAAAATCCACGCCTATTGTAGCCCTTGAAAAAATATTCTTTAAAAAATCCACGCCTATTGTAGCCCTTGAAAAAAAATTCTTTAAAAAATCCACGCCTATTGTAGCCCTTGAAAAAATATTCTTTAAAAAATCCACGCCTATTGTAGCCCTTGAAAAAATATTCTTTAAAAAATCCACGCCTATTGTAGCCCTTGAAAAAATATTCTTTAAAAAATCCACGCCTATTGTAGCCCTTGAAAAAATATTCTTTAAAAAATCCACGCCTATTGTAGCCCTTGAAAAAATATTCTTTAAAAAATCCACGCCTATTGTAGCCCTTGAAAAAATATTCTTTAAAAAATCCACGCCTATTGTAGCCCTTGAAAAAATATTCTTTAAAAAATCCACGCCTATTGTAGCCCTTGAAAAAATATATTTTAAAAATCCACGCCTATTGTAGCCCTTGAAAAAATATATTTTAAAAATCCACGCCTATTGTAGCCCTTGAAAAAATATATTTTAAAAATCCACGCCTATTGTAGCCCTTGAAAAAATATTCTTTAAAAAATCCAAGCCTATTGTAGCCCTTGAAAAAATATTCTTTAAAAAATCCACGCCTATTGTAGCCCTTGAAAAAATATTCTTTAAAAAATCCACGCCTATTGTAGCCCTTGAAAAAATATTCTTTAAAAAATCCACGCCCATTGTAGCCCTTGAAAAAATATTCTTTAAAAAATCCACGCCTATTGTAGCCCTTGAAAAAATATTCTTTAAAAAATCCACGCCTATTGTAGCTCTTGAAAAAATCCACGCCTATTGTAGCCCTTGAAAAAATATTCTTTAAAAAATCCACGCCTATTGTAGCCCTTGAAAAAATATTCTTTAAAAAATCCACGCCTATTGTAGCCCTTGAAAAAATATTCTTTAAAAAATCCAAGCCTATTGTAGCCCTTGAAAAAATATTCTTTAAAAAATCCACGCCTATTGTAGCCCTTGAAAAAATATTCTTTAAAAAAAAATCCACGCCTATTGTAGCCCTTGAAAAAATATTGTTTAAAAAATCCACGCCTATTGTAGCCTTGAAAAATATTCTTTAAAAAAATCCACGCCTATTGAAGCCCTTGAAGTCTAAGTCCATCTTCTTACCTCCTTCATCATCACACAAATGTAAATCGATCCGTTGACTAAAGAAATGATACGACGTCTCTCGTACATCGAAGGCATTGAACATTTTCTGTTGGGCATTCGAATGCGACGATTCACTTTGGCGGTTTTGTTGCTGAGCCAGTTGGGCCTGGTACTCGGGAAGGGTCTGAAAATTGAAATAGAATTTAGTATAGAAAAAATCCTCTGTAAAATCCGCCCAATACATACCTCCAATTTCTTGGCCGCTTTCGATTTCTGTGTAGCATGTGTGGCCGCCTTGATGAGACCCGATAGAGAATCAACAAAATGTAGAGCCGCCTTCAGTTGCGAATCCGTCAGGACCCATAATAAATCATCAAGAATTAAAACTAAACGCGAAGCCAAAAGGCTACAATCCGATAAACGTTTCCTTATGGTAATACGGCATCGAGCATGATTGGTTAGTAGGCGTAGTGGTGTCAACGATTTATCCTGTGTCGAACTGGCCTCTATGCGCACCGTTTGCCATGACAATTCTTTGAATATTAAAATTATGCCCTTGTGGGTATCCTTGAGGCGGGTGAATCGCAAATCACCTGTTGCCCATTTGGGAGTTTTTGATTCCACACGAATGCGGGACATCTGCGGAAGAGAAAAAAATTACAAATAAATTATTAATTTCCCCTGGAGGGATTTGACTTGGCTGCATGCCTTACCTGTACCGATGCCGTAAACGCTGTACTTAAAAATTTCACATTTACCGTATTCACAATAATCGTAATGCCGTCGACCACCTTGTGTATGAAACTGTATTTACCCTGCGGTACTTGTGGCAGAGAACCACCTCCCGCACTCCCACCACCCCCGCCGGTGCCATTCATACCATTTGGTGATTTACTATCCGATTGCCTGGCATTCGGATCACAGGTCTCCACGGTAATGTTAACTTCGTCCAATGTCTATGAAAGAGAAAAATAAAAATATTTTCCATAAATAATTGATATCCATCATCATCACCACCACATCCACCACTTCTTCTTCTGCTTACCAAAGTTATGGGTACACTTTTCAGTTTTGTCCAACTGATACGAAATGAAACATGATTGCACCAGGCGGATGTTAAACGCAGCCATGATGGTAATTCCAATAGTTCTGTAAGGACTGCTTCGTCCAATTGAAGATTCGATAATTCTCCTTCACCGCGAAATGTGCTCAGATTAATTTTATCCGATGAGAGATTTTTGGTGTATCTGGAAGAGAAAAAAGGGGATGGTTAGTTCCATGGAATTAAAATAAAACTCAAAAAGTGACCTAGAAATATTCTTTAAAAAATCCACGCCTTGTGATGGTCTCTAAAAATATTCTTTAAAAAATCCACGCCTTGTGATGGTCTCTAAAAAATATTCTTTAAAAAATCCACGCCTTGTGATGGTCTCTAAAAATATTCTTTAAAAAATCCACGCCTTGTGATGGTCTCTAAAAATATTCTTTAAAAAATCCACGCCTTGTGATGGTCTCTAAAAATATTCTTTAAAAAATCCACGCCTTGTGATGGTCTCTAAAAATATTCTTTAAAAAATCCACGCCTTGTGATGGTCTCTAAAAATATTCTTTAAAAAATCCACGCCTTGTGATGGTCTCTAAAAAATATTCTTTAAAAAATCCACGCCTTGTGATGGTCTCTAAAAATATTCTTTAAAAAATCCACGCCTTGTGATGGTCTCTAAAAAATATTCTTTAAAAAATCCACGCCTTGTGATGGTCTCTAAAAAATATTCTTTAAAAAATCCACGCCTTGTGATGGTCTCTAAAAAATATTCTTTAAAAAATCCACGCCTTGTGATGGTCTCTAAAAAATATTCTTTAAAAAATCCACGCCTTGTGATGGTCTCTAAAAAATATTCTTTAAAAAATCCACGCCTTGTGATGGTCTCTAAAAAATATTCTTTAAAAAATCCACGCCTTGTGATGGTCTCTAAAAAATATTCTTTAAAAAATCCACGCCTTGTGATGGTCTCTAAAAAATATTCTTTAAAAAATCCACGCCTTGTGATGGTCTCTAAAAAATATTCTTTAAAAAATCCACGCCTTGTGATGGTCTCTAAAAATATTCTTTAAAAAATCCACGCCTTGTGATGGTCTCTAAAAAATATTCTTTAAAAAATCCACGCCTTGTGATGGTCTCTAAAAAATATTCTTTAAAAAATCCACGCCTTGTGATGGTCTCTAAAAAATATTCTTTAAAAAATCCACGCCTTGTGATGGTCTCTAAAAAATATTCTTTAAAAAATCCACGCCTTGTGATGGTCTCTAAAAAATATTCTTTAAAAAATCCACGCCTTGTGATGGTCTCTAAAAAATATTCTTTAAAAAATCCACGCCTTGTGATGGTCTCTAAAAAATATTCTTTAAAAAATCCACGCCTTGTGATGGTCTCTAAAAAATATTCTTTAAAAAATCCACGCCTTGTGATGGTCTCTAAAAAATATTCTTTAAAAAATCCACGCCTTGTGATGGTCTCTAAAAAATATTCTTTAAAAAATCCACGCCTTGTGATGGTCTCTAAAAAATATTCTTTAAAAAATCCACGCCTTGTGATGGTCTCTAAAAATATTCTTTAAAAAATCCACGCCTTGTGATGGTCTCTAAAAAATATTCTTTAAAAAATCCACGCCTTGTGATGGTCTCTAAAAAATATTCTTTAAAAAATCCACGCCTTGTGATGGTCTCTAAAAAATATTCTTTAAAAAATCCACGCCTTGTGATGGTCTCTAAAAATATTCTTTAAAAAATCCACGCCTTGTGATGGTCTCTAAAAAATATTCTTTAAAAAATCCACGCCTTGTGATGGTCTCTAAAAATATTCTTTAAAAAATCCACGCCTTGTGATGGTCTCTAAAAAATATTCTTTAAAAAATCCACGCCTTGTGATGGTCTCTAAAAAATATTCTTTAAAAAATCCACGCCTTGTGATGGTCTCTAAAAAATATTCTTTAAAAAATCCACGCCTTGTGATGGTCTCTAAAAAATATTCTTTAAAAAATCCACGCCTTGTGATGGTCTCTAAAAAATATTCTTTAAAAAATCCACGCCTTGTGATGGACTCTAAAAAATATTCTTTAAAAAATCCACGCCTTATGATGGTCTCTAAAAAATATTCTTTAAAAAATCCACGCCTTGTGATGGTCTCTAAAAAAAATTCTTTAAAAAATCCACGCCTTGTGATGGTCTCTAAAAAATATTCTTTAAAAAATCCACGCCTTGTGATGGTCTCTAAAAAATATTCTTAAAAAAACCACGCCTTGTAATGGTCTCTAAAAAATATTCTTTAAAAAATCCACGCCTTGTGATGGTCTCTTAAAAATATTCTTAAAAAAACCACGCCTTGTAATGGTCTCTAAAAAATATTCTTTAAAAAATCCACGCCTTGTGATGGTCTCTAAAAAATATTCTTAAAAAAAAACCACGCCTTGTAATGGTCTCTAAAAAATATTCTTTAAAAAATCCACGCCTTGTGATGGTCTCTTAAAAATATTCTTTAAAAAATCCACGTCTTATGGTGGTCTCTAAAAAATATTCTTAAAAAAACCACGCCTTGTAATGGTCTCTAAAAAATATTCTTTAAAAAATCCACGCCTTGTGATGGTCTCTTAAAAATATTCTTTAAAAAATCCACGTCTTATGGTGGTCTCTAAAAAATATTCTTTAAAAAATCCACGGCATATGGTATGCTTTATAGTATCTCTTAAAAAAATATTACTTAAAAATATGCACCCTTTCAGGAAAAATAATCACTGTAACTTTTATTTTTGTTTTCCCAGAAATGTTAATTACCAATTAAAATACATCTGTGTTTGACCACAAAGCTGTCATAATTTCCCATAAACACACACTCACACACACACTCTATTGCGGAACATATTCCGCATGTGGTTTACAAAACACATTGCCAAAACTAAATTCATTTTGGATAGTCCAATTCATATCGAAATCAAAACGAAATACACAAACATTATCAACATTGACCGGACAGACAGCCAAAGGACCGACCTACAGACATGGCAACAGCACCGGGGCATCCTTGTTAAAAGTTAAATAATGTTTCTGAAACTCATTGACATTTAGAACGCCATTTAGGATCAATCTGTGTGTCCAAAAATGTATCAGCAAATGACCGAATGGGAGACCACAACTGCCAGCAAATGGCACAACCTCTCATTATGAACGCACGCTTCATGGTTGAGAGGAATTTTGTAGGCAGGGATGAAAATTGAGAGCATATTTTTTTAAATTATTTTAAAGATACCTTAAGGCGTGAATTTTTATTGAAAACCTTTTAAAAACCTACAATAGGCGTAGATTTTTTAAAAATATTTTTTCAAGCCATAGCAGCCATTTAGGCGTGGATTTGGATTTTTAAAGTCAATTTTCAGAAGCCATAGCAGCCATTTAGGCGTGGATTTTTAAAGTCAATTTTCAGAAGCCATAGCAGCCATTTAGGCGTGGATTTTTAAAGTCAATTTTCAGAAGACATAGCAGTCATTTAGGCGTGGATTTTTAAAGTCAATTTTCAGAAGCCATAGCAGCCATTTAGGCGTGGATTTTTAAAGTCAATTTTCAGAAACCATAGCAGCCATTTAGGCGTGGATTTTTAAAGTCAATTTTCAGAAGCCATAGCAGCCATTTAGGCGTGGATTTTTAAAGTCAATTTTCAGAAGCCATAGCAGCCATTTAGGCGTGGATTTTTAAAGTCAATTTTCAGAAGCCATAGCAGCCATTTAGGCGTGGATTTTTAAAGTCAATTTTCAGAAGCCATAGCAGCCATTTAGGCGTGGATTTTTAAAGTCAATTTTCAGAAGCCATAGCAGCCATTTAGGCGTGGATTTTTAAAGTCAATTTTCAGAAGCCATAGCAGCCATTTAGGCGTGGATTTTTAAAGTCAATTTTCAGAAGCCATAGCAGCCATTTAGGCGTGGATTTTTAAAGTCAATTTTCAGAAGCCATAGCAGCCATTTAGGCGTGGATTTTTAAAGTCAATTTTCAGAAGCCATAGCAGCCATTTAGGCGTGGATTTTTAAAGTCAATTTTCAGAAGCCATAGCAGCCATTTAGGCGTGGATTTTTAAAGTCAATTTTCAGAAGCCATAGCAGCCATTTAGGCGTGGATTTTTAAAGTCAATTTTCAGAAGCCATAGCAGCCATTTAGGCGTGGATTTTTAAAGTCAATTTTCAGAAGCCATAGCAGCCATTTAGGCGTGGATTTTTAAAGTCAATTTTCAGAAGCCATAGCAGCCATTTAGGCGTGGATTTTTAAAGTCAATTTTCAGAAGCCATAGCAGCCATTTAGGCGTGGATTTTTAAAGTCAATTTTGCTATTTATTTTTATTGTTTGCTTAATTTTATTTTCCCAACCCTCTTCATTGCTATGACCAACATACTGATGTTGCAATCCTTATTAAGGACAATGATTGTTGTATATGTTTATAAAGGACATTAGCTACGTACATCGACTAATGTAGTTGTACGATGAGGTTGTTAACCATCCGGCAATAGGTAAATGACCTAAGGCTTGTTAGTTTTTAGGTCGATTAAATTTTCTGTGTCCTCTGTTATTGCCGTTCAGAGAGCTGGAATGCTGGGGCTGCTGCACAAAGGAAGGAAGTAATTTCAAAAAACAAAACATTGTTGTTTTTCCTCGGAGACAATAGAGAATCTATTTTCCGAACTTTTATTTTTTTATATGAAACTTAAATTGCAGTATTCGAGAGTCAATCTCATATGGTGGTTATCAATTATAAATTGCATTATTTTTTTATTGATTATTAATTGAATTATCTTATCAGGGCGAAATGAATGAATTCTAATTTTATTTTTATAATTTTTTATGAGCTATGCAAAAAAAAACTTCTAAGTAGGTCTTATTTGTTATCATCGTTTGTTAGAGCAGCTTGCCGGGGCAGTATGTGATCTTATCGGGAAATTGTTTTCTTGGGTTATCAAAGGGGAAGAAGGAAAAAAGTTAGTTATATGGAACGGATCTTCTGGCTCGTGAAGTCATTAAACCTATAAAGAATACCTTATGTGCAGAGTGTCTATTTAAGACGATAGAATATTAGACTGAGCTTACCCTGCCGATTATTTTAGACCTTTAAATTTTAAACCCATTCCTATGAAACCAATATTTCCTGGTTGCACGGTGATAAACATTTTGTGTTTATGTGTTATTAGAAATTCACACACACAATTCCGCA